CACTGTTTTGTCTCCCCTGAAGGGCTGCAGCTCCCTCTGCTGGTGATGTTGGGAAATACCTTTTTATTATTGGGATTTGAGGCACACTGAGGGAGCCGTAGAATGTATGTTGGGTAGGGAGAGGGCTGTATTGTTTAATGATGTATTTGCATGGGCAATGTGTAGTACTGATTTGGGTTTAGAAATTTATGAGACAAACTCAAGTTAATTTGGGATTATTTATGGTAGTGGGTTGCAATTATTTGGGTCTAGTGATTTATTGGGGGAGTGAGGCATATTTGGGATTAGTGCTTTGTGGGGAGAACAAGGATTATTTTGAGATTGCTTTCTTGGAGGAAGTGGAAAGTATTTGGAATTAGTGCTTTATAGGAGGAAGTGATCAGTATTTGTGATTAGGGATTAATGAGGGGGAGCGAGGTATATTTGGGATTAGTGGATTATGGGAAGGGAGCGAGGTATATTTGGGTTTAGTGGATTATGGGAAGGGAGCGAGGTATATTTGGGTTTAGTGGATTATGGGAAGGGAGCGAGGTATATTTGGGTTTAGTGGATTATGGGAAGGGAGCGAGGTATATTTGGGTTTAGCGGATTATGGGGGGAGCGAGGTATATTTGGGATTAGTAGTTTATGGTGGGGAGCGAGGTATATTTGGGTTTAGTGGATTATGGGAAGGGAGCGAGGTATATTTGGGTTTAGTGGATTATGGGAAGGGAGCGAGGTATATTTGGGTTTAGTGGATTATGGGAAGGGAGCGAGGTATATTTGGGTTTAGTGGATTATGGGAAGGGAGCGAGGTATATTTGGGATTAGTGGATTATGGGAAGGGAGCGAGGTATATTTGGGTTTAGCGGATTATGGGGGGAGCGAGGTATATTTGGGATTAGTAGTTTATGGTGGGGAGCGAGGTATATTTGGGTTTAGTGGATTATGGGAAGGGAGCGAGGTATATTTGGGATTTGTGGATTATGGAACGGGCGCAAGGTATATTTGGGATTAGTGGATTATGGGAAGGGAGCAAGGTATATTTGGGATTAGTGGATTATGGGAAGGGAGCGTGGTATATTTGGGATTAGTGGATTATGGGAAAGGAGCGTGGTATATTTGGGATTAGTGGATTATGGGAAGGGAGCGTGGTATATTTGGGTTTAGTGGATTATGGGAAGGGAGCGAGGTATATTTGGGATTTGTGGATTATGGAACAGGCGCAAGGTATATTTGGGATTAGTGGATTATGGAAAGGGAGCGTGGTATATTTGGGATTAGTGGATTATGGGAAGGGAGCGTGGTATATTTGGGTTTAGTGGATTATGGGAAGGGAGCGAGGTATATTTGGGATTTGTGGATTATGGAACGGGCGCAAGGTATATTTGGGATTAGTGGATTATGGGAAGGGAGCAAGGTATATTTGGGATAATAGATTATGGGGGACGGAGGTATATTTGGGATTAGTGGATTATGGGAAGGGAGCGAGGTATATTTGGGATAATAGATTATGGGGGACGGAGGTATATTTGGGATAATTATGGGCGAAGGAGGTATATTTGGGATTAATAGATCATGGGGAGGGAGGTATATTTGGGGTTAGTGGATTATGGGGGGAGCAAACTATATGGGGGATTAGTGGATTATGGGGGAACAAGGCATATATTTTAAGATCAGTGGTTTATGGGGGGAGTGCTGTATATTTGGGATTAGTACATTTATGGGGAGGGAGCGAGATATATTTGGGATTAGTGGATTATGGGGAGCGAGTTATATTTTGGATTAATAGATTATGGGGGGAGCAAGGTAAATTTGGGATTAGTGGATTATGGGGGAGCGAGGTATGTTTGGGATTAATAGATTATGGGGAGGAAGGTATATTTGGGATTAGTGGATTATGGGGGAGCGAGGTATGTTTGGGATTAATAGATTATGGGGAGCAAGGTAAATTTGGGATTAGTGGATTATGGGGGAGCGAGGTATGTTTGGGATTAATAGATTATGGGGAGGAAGGTATATTTGGGATTAGTGGATTATGGGGCGTGAGTTATATTTTGGATTAATAGATTATGGGGAGGGAGGTATATTTGGGATTAGTGAATTATGGGGGGAGCGAGGTATATATGGGATTAGTGGTTTATGGGGGGGGTGAGGGAGGTATATTTGGGATTAGTGGATTATGAGGGGGGAGGGGGGGGAAGCCTCTTGTTCTCCCAGGCACAGAAAGCCAGCCATACCTGCCATTGTCCCCAAAGGATGTCCACACCAACCCCAGGGACTGCCACAATATTTGGGATTATTGGATTATGGGGATCAGCAAGGTATATTTGAAATTAGTGTATTATGGGGAGGGAGCGAGGTATATTAGGGATTAGTGGATTATGGGGAGGGAGCGAGATATATTTGGGATTAGTGGATTATGGGGTAGCAAGATATGTTTGGGATTAGTGGATTATGGGGAGGGAGCGAGGTATATTTGGGATTAGTGGATTATGGGGTGGGAGTGAGATATATTTAGGATTAGTGGGTTATGGGGAGTGAGTGAGATATATTTGGGATTAGTGGATTATGGGGAGGGAGGGAGCGAGGTATATTAGGGATTAGTGGATTATGGGGTAGCAAACTATGTTTGGGATTAGTGGATTATGGGGTAGCAAGCTATGTTTGGGATTAGTGGATTATGGGGAAGGAGCGAGGTATGTTTGGGATTAGTGGATTATGGGGAAGGAGCGAGGTATGTTTGGGGTTAGTGGATTATGGGGAAGGAGCGAGGTATGTTTGGGGTTAGTGGATTATGGGGAAGGAGCGAGGTATGTTTGGGGTTAGTGGATTATGAGGAGGAAGCGAGGTATGTTTGGGGTTAGTGGATTATGGGGAAGGAGCGAGGTATGTTTGGGGTTAGTGTATTATGGGGAGGGAGCGAGGTATATTTGAGATTAGTGGATGGGGGAGCAAGGTAAATTTGGGATTAGTGGATTATGGGGTCAGCAAGGTATATTTGAAATTACTGGATTGTGGGGAAAGGAGCAAGGTATATTTGGGATTATGGGGGGAGCGAAGTACATTTGGGATTAGTGGATGGGGGAGCAAGGTATATTTGGGATTAGTGCATTATGGGAAAGGGAGCCGGGTATATTAGGGATTAGTGAATTATAAGGAGGGAGTGAAGTTTATTAGGGATTAGTGGATTATGGGGAGGGAGGGAGCGAGGTAAATTTGGGATTAGTGGATTAAGGGGGTAGCTAGGTATATGTGGGATTAGTGGTTTAAGGGAGGGAGCAAGATATATTTGGGATTAGTGGGTTATGGGGAGTGAGTGAGATATATTTGGGATTAGTGGATTATGAGGTAGCAAGCTATGTTTGGGATTAGTGGATTATGAGGGGGGGGGGGGAGCCTCTTGTTCTCCCAGGCACAGAAAGCCAGCCATACCTGCCATTGTCCCCAAAGGATGTCCACACCAACCCCAGGGACTGTCACAATATTTGGGATTATTGGATTATGGGGATCAGCAAGGTATATTTAAAATTAGTGTATTATGGGGAGGGAGCGAGGTATATTTGAGATTACTGGATGGGGGAGCAAGGTATATTTGAAATTACTGGATTGTGGGGAAGGAGCGAGGTATATTTGGGATTATGGGGGGAGCGAAGTACATTTGGGATTAGTGGATGGGGGAGCAAGGTATATTTGGGATTAGTGCATTATGGGGAAAGGGAGCCGGGTATATTAGGGATTAGTGAATTATAAGGAGGGAGTGAAGTTTATTAGGGATTAGTGGATTATGGGGAGGGAGGGAGCGAGGTAAATTTGGGATTAGTGGATTAAGGGGGTAGCTAGGTATATGTGGGATTAGTGGTTTAAGGGAGGGAGCAAGATATATTTGGGATTAGTGGGTTATGGGGAGTGAGTGAGATATATTTGGGATTAGTGGATTATGGGGAGGGAGCGAGGTATATTTGGGATTAGTGGATTATGGGGTGGGAGTGAGATATATTTGGGATTAGTGGATTATGGGGAGGGAGGGAGCGAGGTATATTAGGGATTAGTGGATTATGGGGTAGCAAACTATGTTTGGGATTAGTGGATTATGGGGTAGCAAGCTATGTTTGGGATTAGTGGATTATGGGGAAGGAGCGAGGTATGTTTGGGATTAGTGGATTATGGGGAAGGAGCGAGGTATGTTTGGGGTTAGTGGATTATGGGGAAGGAGCGAGGTATGTTTGGGGTTAGTGGATTATGGGGAAGGAGCGAGGTATGTTTGGGGTTAGTGGATTATGGGGAGGAAGCGAGGTATGTTTGGGGTTAGTGGATTATGGGGAGGAAGCGAGGTATGTTTGGGGTTAGTGGATTATGGGGAGGGAGCGAGGTAAATTTGGGATTAGTGGATTATGGGGAGGAAGCGAGGTATGTTTTGGGTTAGTGGATTATGGGGAAGGAGCGAGGTATGTTTGGGGTTAGTGGATTATGGGGTAGCAAGCTATATGTGGGATTAGTGGATTATGGGGAGGGAGCGAGGTAAATTTGGGATTAGTGGATTATGGGTGAGTGTTAAAAACAATATTGATGGTTATATGGGTAACTTGATCCATTTAATGTACGAGGCCAAAGGAACCGTAGATGGTAAGTGCACGAGTTAAACGCGATAAAATTGCTGTTTGAGACACTTTTTCTCCATGCCATAAATAATATATTACAGATGGTGATGAGTGAATGAATCCTCGTATCTCGCTCTATGGAATAATTGTCTCCTATAATTGCATGCGGCCAGGGTTTTGCATTTCTGAGATCTGTAAAGTCTGAACCTGGAACCGTGTTTTCTTGGCTTGAATCGCTCTGTATTCCTTCCATTTGTGTGTGTGTGTGTGTGTGTGTCAGAGAGAAAGGAGGGGGACTGAATTACAATTTAAAATGAAAAATGAATTTTTTTTTGTGATAAGAATGTGATTCAGCCGCAGCCCATAATCATATGCGTTTTAATAATCTTTATTTTGCAGGAGTCAGTTTCCAGGGCAACTGAGTGCGAGGCTGTGATGAGCTCCCTGATGAGCGGCAGGCGTCTGCAGGCGGGAGTATCTGTGAGTCCCTTCCCGTCCCTGTAATGACGGCTGCTATTCCTTGTGCACCCCCCTCTGCTAAGACTTCCATTATCCTGTCGCTGTGAGCTGCACAAATTGCAGGACGTGGAGCTCTGAAGCCCACTAGGCCAAGTTAAATAACAGATGGAATATCTTTAGCATTTTTATGTAATTACTTTTTTTTCTTTGCTCCTATTTCTCCTTCCCTGCACTCCGCACACCAATCGTAGGATCAGAGCGCCGTTACCCAGCCAGGGGAAGGGGGGTAGAATTGGGTGTTTGCAATCTTTCTGTGTGAAGGGAAAGTGGAATGTATACAAAACATATTATTTATTCTGATGATGGCCATTCAGGCCTTTCCTTGCCACAAACCAGCCCTCCATCCTGCTACGTTTTATTCTCCCCCCTAGGCAGACAGTCTAATACCGCGATTTGCCATGACACTCTGCCATCCTTCAGCTATCTCAGCAAAAACATCTGGCAACACTGGCCTTGTGCTTCCCCACAGTATTCCCAACCATCTCTGCTGGAAGACTATTCCATGTACCTACAGCCCTGGGTATTGAATAGGGTCACACATAGTTAGTGCCATCACTAATTGGCAGCATTGTGAAAGCAGAGGATGTCTATGTTCCTAAAGCGCTTCGTTCATCCTCAGACAGGGAGGCTGCGGCACTATAAGGTTTATTATAAATCGTACTGTTGCTGCCGACCCCCATCTCTCCCTACCGTCCATAGCTGCTAATAGCTACATCCTCCAGCAATTCTTCCAGCTCAGCTACTTTGGCTTTAAATGTGAATTCCTGACAATTCTCAGTTTAGTGAATAATTCAGGGTGTGCTTAGATTATAGTCTACAGTTTATTTATTATAAAGCACTTCATACCATATACCAATCTATTATACAGTATACCAACCTATTATACCGTATACCAATCTATTATACAGAACTTCATACCATATACCAATCTATTATACAGAACCTTTATACTGTATACCGATCTATTATACAGAACTTCATAAATACCAATCTATTATACCGAACTTCATACAGTATACCAATCTATTATACCGAACTTCATACAGTATACCAATCTATTATACAGCCCTTCATACTGTATACCATATATCAATCTATAATACAGCCCTTCATACCGTATACCATATATCAATCTATTATACAGCACTCCATACCGTATACCATATATCAATCTATTATACAGCACTCCATACCGTATACCATATATCAATCTATAATACAGCCCTTCATACCATGTACCATATATCAATCTATTATACAGCACTCCATACCGTATACCATATATCAATCTATTATACAGCACTCCATACCGTATACCATATATCAATCTATTATACAGCACTCCATACCGTATACCATATATCAATCTATAATACAGCCCTCCATACCGTATACCATATACCAATCTATTATACAGCACTCCATACCGTATACCATATATCAATCTATTATACAGCACTCCATACCGTATACCATATATCAATCTATAATACAGCCCTTCATACCGTATACCATATATCAATCTATTATACAGCACTCCATACCGTATACCATATATCAATCTATAATACAGCCCTTCATACCGTATACCATATATCAATCTATTATACAGCACTCCATACCGTATACCATATATCAGTCTATTATACAGCACTCCATACCGTATACCAATCTATTATACAGAACTTCATACCATATACCAATGCATTATACAGCACTTCATACAGTATACCAATCTATTAAACAGCATACCATACAGTATACCAATCTATTATACAGCTCTCCATACCATATGCCAATCTATTATACAGCACTTCATTACGTATACCATATATCAATCTATTATACAGCCCTTCATACAGTATACCAATCTATAATACAGCATTCCATACATTATACCAATCTATTATACGATATACCAATCTATTATACAGAACTATATACCAATCTATTATATAGCACTTCATACCATATAGCAATCTATTATACAGCACCTCATACAGTATACCATATATCAATCTATTATACACAGCACTTCATATCGTATACCAATCTATTATACACCACTTTATACCGTATACCAATCTATTATACAGCATTCTATACTGTATACCGATCTATTATACAGCACTTCATACCATATGCCAATCTATTATACAGCATTTCATACCATATACCATATATCAATCTGTTATACAGCACTCCATACCATATACCTATCTACACTGCTCAAAAAAATAAAGGGAACACTTAAACATCACAATGTAACTCCAAGTCAATCACACTTCTGTGAAATCAAACTGTCCACTTAGGAAGCAACACTGAGTGACAATCAATTTCACATGCTGTTGTGCAAATGGGATAGACAACAGGTGGATATTATAGGCAATTAGCAAGACACCCCCAATGAAGGAGTGGTTCTGCAGGTGGTGACCACAAACCGCTTCTTGGCTGATGTTTTGGTCACTTTTGAATGCTGGCGGTGCTTTCACTCTAGTGGTAGCATGAAACAGAGTCTACAACCCACACAAGTGGCTCAGGTAGTGCAGCTCATCCAGGATGGCACATCAATGCGAGCTGTGGCAAGAAGGTTTGCTATGTCTGTCAGCGTAGTGTCCAGAGCATGGAGGCACTACCAGGAGACAGGCCAGTACATCAGGAGATGTGGAGGAGGCCGTAGGAGGGCAACAACCCAGCAGCAGGACTGCTACCTCCGCCTTTGTGCAAGGAGGAACAGGAGGAGCACTGCCAGAGCCCTGCAAAATGACCTCCAGCAGGCCACAAACATGCATGTGTATGCTCAAACGGTCAGAAACAGACTCCATGAGGGTGGTATGAGGGCCCGACGTCCACAGGTGGGGGTTGTGCTTACAGCCCAACACCGTGCAGGACGTTTGGCATTTGCCAGAGAACACCAAGATTGGCAAATTCGCCACTGGCGCCCTGTGCTCTTCACAGATGAAAGCAGATTCACACTGAGCACATGTGACAGAAGTGACGGAGTCTAGAGACGCCGTGGAGAACGTTCTGCTGCCTGCAACATCCTCCAGCATAACCGGTTTGGCAGTGGGTCAGTAATGGTGTGGGGTGGCACTTCTTTGGGGGGGCCGCACAGCCCTCCATGTGCTCGCCAGAGGTAGCCTGACTGCAATTAGGTACCAAGATGAGATCCTCAGACCCCTTGTGAGACCATATGCTGGTGCGGTTGGCCCTGGGTTCCTCCTAATGCAAGACAATGCTCAACCTCATGTGGCTGGAGTGTGTCAGCAGTTCCTGCAAGACGAAGGCATTGATGCTATGGACTGGCCCGCCCATTCCCAAGACCTGAATCCAATTGAGCACATCTGGGACATCATGTCTCCCTCCATCCACCAACAGACTGTCCAGAAGTTGGCAGATGCTTTAGTCCAGGTCTGGGAGGAGATCCCTCAGGAGACCATCCGCCACCTCATCAGGAGCATGCACAGGCGTTGTAGGGAGGTCATACAGGCACGTCGAGGCCACACACACTACTGAGCCTCATTTTGACTTGTTTTAAGGACATTACATCAAAGTTGGATCAGCCTGTAGTTTGTTTTTCCACTTTAAAGGAACACTATAGTCACCTAAATTACTTTAGCTAAATAAAGCAGTTTTAGTGTATAGATCATTCCCCTGCAATTTCACTGCTCAATTCACTGTCATTTAGGAGTTAAATGACTTTGTTTCTGTTTATGCAGCCCTAGCCACACCTCCCCCGGCTATGATTGATAGAGCCTGCATGAAAAAAAAAAACTGGTTTCACTTTCAAACAGATGTAATTTACCTTAAATAATTGTATCTCAATCTCTAAATTGAAGTTTAATCACATACAGGAGGCTCTTGCAGGGTCTAGCAAGCTATTAACATAGCAGGGGATAAGAAAATCTTAATTAAACAGAACTTGCAATAAAGAAAGCCTAAATAGGGCTCTCTTTACAGGAAGTGTTTATGGAAGGCTGTGCAAGTCACATGCAGGGAGGTGTGACTAGGCTTCATAAACAAAGGGATTTAACTCCTAAATGGCAGAGGATTGAGCAGTGAGACTGCAGGGGCATGTTCTATACACCAAAACTGCTTCATTAAGCTAAAGTTGTTCAGGTGAATATAGTGTCCCTTTAATTTTGAGTGTGACTCCAAATCCAGACCTCCATGGGTTGAAAAATTTGATTTCCATTTTTTAATTTTTGTGTGATTTTGTTGTCAGCACATTCAACTGTAAAGAACAAAGTATTTCAGAAGAATATTTAATTCATTCAGATCTAGGATGTGTTACTTTGTGTTCCCTTTATTTTTTTTGAGCAGTGTATTATACAGCACTTCATACCGTATACCAATCTATTATACAGCACTTCATACCGTATACCAATCTATTATTCAGCACTTCATACCGTATACCAATCTATTATACAGCACTTCATACAGTATACCAATCTATTATACAGCACTTCATACAGTATACCATATATCAGTCTATTATACAGCACTTCATACCATATACCAATCTATTATACAGCACTTCATACAGTATACCAATCTATTATACAGCACTTCATACCGTATACCAATATATTATACAGCACTTCATACCGTATACCAATCTATTATTCAGCACTTCATACAGTATACCAATATATTATACAGCACTTCATACAGTATACCAATCTATTATACAGCACTTCATACAGTATACCATATATCAGTCTATTATACAGCACTTCATACAGTATACCAATCTATTATACAGCACTTCATACCGTATACCAATCTATTATACAGCACTTCATACAGTATACCAATCTATTATACAGCACTTCATACAGTATACCATATATCAGTCTATTATACAGCACTTCATACCGTATACCAATCTATTATTCAGCACTTCATACCGTATACCAATATATTATACAGCACTTCATACAGTATACCAATCTATTATACAGCACTTCATACCACATACCAATCTATTATACAGCACTTCATACAGTATACCACATACCAATCTATTATACAGCACTTCATACCGTATACCATATATCAGTCTATTATACAGCCCTTCATACCGTATACCAATCTATTATACAGCACTTCATACCGTATACCATATATCAGTCTATTATACAGCACTTCATACCGTATACCAATATATTATACAGCACTTCATACCGTATACCAATATATTATACAGCACTTCATACCCTATACCACGGGTGGGCAATCTGCGTCCCTCCACATGTTTTGGACTACATCTCCTATAATAATTCTAGCAAAGCATCTAGGGAGATGTAGTCCAAAACATCTGGAAAGCCGCAGATTGCCCACCCCTGCCATATGCCAATCTATTATACAGCATTCCATACTGTGGCAAACCTAGCCACTTAAGACTGTATTTCCCACTTAAGACTGTATTTACATTTATGTGATATTGTGGCTTTATGACTACCTGAACTGTCCATGTTCCCTATTCTGTATTTTATGGGAACGAGAGCATTCGTATGCTGGTGGCACGAAAGCCACCAGCATTCATACAGTAGTTTCACGAACCGTGAATTTCAACTACCGAATGGGGGACCACACACAGGAGGTCGTGTGGCTCCCATTACGGATCGCAACAAAGTATCTGTTGGCAGTTAATAGTTGTTCAGGGTGGCCACCGTTCGGATACCGACCACGCGGCAGCGGACATCTTGGATCCTTTGTTAGCCCAGCGGTGTTTGGTCGTTGAGTGCCTGGAACTAAAATGGGCTACTCGACGGCACGAATACCGCTGGACTTCTAGGCCGTACGGGAGCACCGGTCTTTCGGTATTTTATCTCTGCATGTGTATTCAAGACTTTTGTGAAGAATTTGTGTTCCAAGTGTATTTCGTGCATTGTTCGGCTAATTGTGCTGGGATCTGTGCGGTACTTTCACGAAGTATGCGCTCAGACCCCAGCTATCTGCCGAACGGTCATTCGGTACAATAGCACCTCTAAATATTATTCGAGTTATAGATTTTTATGTAAAAAGCCAATCCTGCTGTACGGAGGGATAATCCACTTAACTGGGTATTCTAGTGGGAGTATCCCTCTCGTACAGCAGTGCATGGTGAGAGAAATTTTCTGATGTTAAGTTCCCCATGTAGTCCCTTACTGTACAACCCCTGTAAAGTCAGTAAGGAAACCCCTTGCATGGGGAACCACATAAATACTGGAGCTTGTGAATAAAACCTCAGTTGACTCCCAGCCTATGTGTCGTCTAGTTCTTGGGAAGGAAGGATCTGTATAACGCTACCGGGATTATTGTATGCTGTACTTGTTTTACCTGGATTATTACATGCTGCTCCTGTCTACCAGCGGAGATATTGTGGATTATACTACCTCTCCGCTACAATTGGTGGCAAGCAACGGGATTTCAAACACACAGCAAACCAGCGTTCGGCAGTAATCACACGAATAAAGAAGAGAAGCAGCAGTTCAACGGAACAAACCATTCTGATAAAACCAGTGTTCGGTAAATATGTCAAAATATAGGAACGACTGGTGAATGGAGTCGAACTATGCAACATTGAAACGAGCTACACTGAAAGAATTATTGCAATCAAAGGGAAAAAGCGCTAGCAGTAAAATCAAAGTGACCCTTGTGGCAGAACTCATGGAGGGAGACAGAGACCACTGCAGCAGCTCCACGGGAGTACAGACCCCAGCGAATTTGACAAAGAGCTGAGGAGCAGACTAGCCTTTTATCCAGAGACCCCCCCCCCCCCTAGAGAGACTGACCCGACTGATGACGGATGTGCAGGAGTACCTGGTGGTCAGGCTCCAAGCAAATCAGCGAGCCGGGGAAAGAACAACACCACCTGTCAGCACTACCCCAGGGAAAGCCAAGATTCACTACCAAGCCTTTAAGAGCTATACAGAAGCTGACGGCGACGTAGATGACTACCTGCAAGATTTTGAGAGGTTGTGCCAACTACACAACATCAGCGCGGCAGATCAGGTACCTCTACTAGCTGGGAGACTATCCGGACGCGCAGCGGAGGCGTACCAGATGAGGACAGTAGAGACTATGCTAAAGTAAAACAAGCCATTTTAGCCAGGTATGCGATTACCTCAGAGACATACCGGCTAAAGTTTCAGGACATTAACAAACCGAACAAAGACACACACACACACACACACACACACACACGCAGTGGGCACACCGCCTGCAGCAAGCCACAAAAGGGTGGTTGGAAGCCACCCAAGTTACCACTCTGGAAGACCTGTTCCAGCTAATGGTCATGGAGCAGTTCTTCGACAGGATACCCCCCCATCTACAAAATTGGGTAATGGACTGAAAACCACGCACGCTACAAGAGGCAGCCAAACTGGCAGAAGAGTTCCAAGATACCAGAAGGGACCAGCGCACCCAGCACCGACCGGTCTATGGACCTACAGCACCGTTACCAGCCGTGACCTCAACCGTCCAACCACAACCAGGGGTAAGCCAAAATACCTACAACCCCAGATACCCTACCCGTCCTCCGATCCGTTGCCACACCTGCAACCAGTAGGGGCATATACAGCGAGACTGTCCCCGCAACCGACCCAGGCCAAGCTGGAATAATGCAACATCCAACAACCGAGCACTGTGCACTGTATACAAGCAGAACAGTACAGAGCACCCGAGGCAGCCACTCCAATGGAAGAACCTCTGGGGGCTCTACATGAGGTAAACCCCATCCAGGCTACCTCTGATAACTGGCAGGGACACCGACAGGAAGTACACATGAAGGGGAAAAAGGTACAACGTCTAAGAGACTCTGGGGCCACCTTAACGCTAGTCTGAAATCATCTGGTGCCAAAGAATAATCTAACTGGGAACTGTGTCGCTGTACGGGTGGCAGGGAGAGCTATTTACAAAGTTCCCACTGCCAAGGTGCATTTGAATTGGGGAGCGGGAATGTGGAGGTGGGGATGATGCAGGATTTACCCGCTGATGTAATCTTGGGCAACGACCTGGGGGAGCTGACTTCAGCTTTTGTTCCCCAACCCACCATTCAGGAAGCTCACCCGGTTGTGACCCGGCAGCAGGCCCGCACCACAGCTCCATCTAACCACTCTGAGGCTCAGGTAAGCAATGTACACCCCATACCCTCTGTCATGCCCTGGGCAACCACCCCTAGAATTTGGTTCCGATGTGGCCCTATACCCCTCCCTGCAGATATATAAGGACCAGGCAGGGCTGGAAGGGGAAAGGTACACCTGGGACAAGGGGCTACTGTACCGCCACGCAGAGAAAGTAGTAGCCGGATTTATACCGCTACCCATTAAACAGCTAATTGTTCCTTGGAAATATAGACTAGAATTGTTACGCATCGCCCATGATATTCCCCTGTCTGGGCACTTAGGAATCAGCCGCACTAAGCACAGGCTGACCCAGAACTTCTTCTGGCCAGGTATCTCACAGGATGTTAGACGATATTGTCAGACCTGTGACACCTGCAAGAGGGTAGGGAAGAGAGGAGACCGATACAAAGCCTTGCTCCATTCCTTACCCATAATTGAGGAACCCTTCAGTAGGGTGGCGGTGGATATAATAGGACCCCTAGCGAAACCCAGTCCCTCCGGCAAGAAGTACATCTCGACCATAGTGGATTATGCCACCAGATATCCAGAAACGGTGGCTTTGACTAATGTACACGCGGAAACGGTGGCAGAATATTCTCCCACGTGGGATTTCCCCAGGAGACCCCGGGAGATTATTTCGGATAGGGGCACTCAATTCACCGCAGAAGTCACACACTAGCTCTGGAAGATATGTGGGGTACAACAGATCTTGAACTCCGCCTATTACCTCCAGTCCAACGGTCTCTGTGAACGATTTAACGGAACACTCAAACAGATTATCCATACGTTCATAGACACTCAGAAAGACTGGGAAAGATTTCTACCCCACTTACTTTTCGCCTATAGGGAAGTACCCCAAGAGTCCACCGGGTTCTCTCCTTTTGAACTACTATTCGGGAGGAGAGTGAGGGGCCCCCTTGATTTAAACCGAGAACACTGGGAGGGAGAATGGACTATTAATGGTACACCTATCGTACCCTATGTACTGGAGTTTAGGGAACGCTTGTAGGCTCTGACCCAGACCGTGCGCGACAACCTCCAGGCAGCCCAACAACGACAACGCGGATGGTACGATAAGGGAGCCAGGGGCCGCAGTTTTCAGGTTAGGCAAAAAGTACTAATCCTACGACCCGTCCACAAGGACAAGCTGCAGGCTTCCTGGCAGGGCCCATACAAGGTGGTAGAACAGATATGTGATACCACCTATATGATCGGTGCAGGTGCGGGGGGCAAACGCATACTCCATGTGAATATGCTCAAGCCCTACCATGAGCGTACCGAAGAGGTAACCGCGATTTGCGCGCCAGCTACCGAGGACTTTGATAATTTGCCTCTCCCAGATATCCTAGACCAAGAGGGCCTGACGGAGACCTGGGGGAGGTACAGTTAGGGGAGTGTTTAAGTCCCCAGGAGCGAACCCAAGTTCAAAGCTTAATCAGGGAAAAGGGGGCCACCTTTTCCAATCTTCCCGGGTACACCCCATTGGCCACTCACAAGGTAGAAACCCCAGGACAGACCCCCGCTTCGCCAACCTCCTTACCGCATACCAGAATCCGTAAAAGAGAACATGCGTAAGGAGATTGAAGAAATGTTACAGTTAGGGGGGATAGAACATTCCGACAGCCCCTGGGCCTCTCCGGTAGTGATAGTACGAAACGGGACGGGACGACCTGTTTCTGTGTAGATTACCGGAGGCTCAACGACAAAACTTTCTCCGACGCTTACCCTATGCCCCGAATAGACGGTCTCCTAGACTAAATGGCCAGGGGCCAGTACCTCACCACAGTAGATTTGTGTAAGGGGTAATCCCGCTGGCTGAGGACTCCATCCTCAAGTCGGCATTTGTCACCCCGTTTGGCCTGTACCAGTTCAAGGTCATGCCATTCGGGATGAAAAATGCCCCGGCTGCCTTTCAGAGGATGGTGGATCGGCTACTAGATGGGTTCCAGGAGTATGCTTGCACCTATCTAGACGATATAGCCATTTTCAGCCACTCCTGGACCGAGCACCTGACCCACATAGGAGTCGTACTAGACCAGATTAGGAGGCAGGACTAACCCTTAAACCCAGTAAGTGCCACATAGGGATGGCAGAAGTTCAGTACCTAGGGCACAGGGTAGTAAGCGGCCAACAGAAGCCAGAGCCCGCTAAAATAGAGGTGGTCGCCAAGTGGCCAACCCCCCTCACCAAGACGCAAGTCCTCGCGTTACTAGGTACCGCAGGGTACTATCGCAAATTCGTGTCCAACTACAGTACCCTAGCCAAATCCCTCACCGACCTAACCCGTAAGAATCTCCCTAAGATAGTGGTATGGGCCCCAGAGTGCTTCATACCATATACCAATCCAAAATTAGTATACAGTGTAAGTAGTGTACAGCGCTTCATACCATATACCAATCCAAACCCAGTACACCATGCAAGTAGTGTACAGCACTTCATACCATATACCAATCCAAACCCAGTACACCATGTAAGTAGTGTACAGCGCTTCATACCATATACCAATCCAAACCCAGTATACCATGTAAGTAGTGTACAGCGCTTCATACCATATACCAATCCAAACCTAGTATACCGTGTAAGTAGTGTACAGCGCTTCATACCATATACCAATCCAAACCCAGTATACCATGTAAGTAGTGTACACCACTTCATACCATATACCAATCCAAACCTAGTATACCATGTAAGTAGTGTACAGCGCTTCATACCATATACCAATCCAAACCTAGTATACCGTGTAAGTAGTGTACAGCACTTCATACCATATACCAATCCAAACCCAGTACACCGTGTAAGTAGTGTACACCACTTCATACCATATACCAATTGTGGCGGAACCAGCCTCACCACTGGGCATTGAAGAAGACTGATTGCCAGCTGGGATGTATTGCCTGCTCTCCTGTACTGCTGAGGATTGTTGCCAACTAGGTGGATTTGGCTATGGAGCTTGTGTAGTGCCCTCTGTTGGTAGAAACGGTAATATGCACTACCTGAATAGCAAGACTGGTAATTTGCATATTTGGGTAGATTTGCATATCGCTAATTCTGCATGCAGCAGAGACATTTTGTGTTAATTATGGTCTTCCCCACCCATTTATAAATATGTAATTATGTTATAATAAGTTACTGTATGTTGCCTGCTATGATTTGACTGTTTGTAATTTTATTGAGTTTTCACATATGGGCTAGTCCCAAGTAAAATAAAGTTTTAGACAGGTCTACTTCACCCTCAATTTGGAGTGCTGTCTCTTATTGGGGGAATCTGCTACAAGGGATTGCTATGCTATTCATACTCCCTTGCTATATCACTAATAAGCTCTTGTAAGAGCTTGTTCCTGCCTTGCTCTCTGGAGGAGTCTATGGTGGTACACCGTGTAAGTAGTGTATAGCACTTCATACCATATACCAATCCAAACTTAGTATACCTTGTAAGTAGTGTACAGCGCTTCATACCATATACCAATCCAAACCCAGTACACCGTGTAAGTAGTGTACAGCACTTCATACCATATACCAATCCAAACCTAGTATACCGTGTAAGTAGTGTACAGCGCTTCATACCATATACCAATCCAAACCCAGTACACCGTGTAAGTAGTGTACAGCACTTCATACCATATACCAATCCAAACCTAGTATACCGTGTAAATACTATATTGTAGTTTGTGTATAATCTAGCAATGTGAACATTTCATATGTGATGTTTTGCTCAGTTTGACAGACCATTTAATGGAAGGAGTTCCTCAGTGGAAGCTGTATATTTGTCACTTCATATTCTACTTATTGTATGCACACTCCCTCTGGATGTGTACAGGGAGAGGCATAGTGTAGTAGTGCTGGTGACTGGGGGTGCTGGGAGTTGTGCTGAGATGTGAGGGGAGTTATATTCACAAACATGCAAATTAAATTGGAAAAAATTCTATTCACTGCAAATGAAAATTCCGAGATCCATTCTGTGTCGGCTTGTTGATGTTGCTGGGTACAGGATTCTGGTATATAATGAAGTCAGGCTGGATCTGTATATGAAGATGATACATGGCATTGCACGCCCATATTCTGGTTAGATTGATGGGACGGGGTAACTGACTGCCTGCCTTGGCCATTCCACCAACCAAGGATTGAAATAAAGGAGCACTAACTGTGCCTATCGAATTAAATCTTGTACACAGTGTGTGCTTCATTGTTATTGTACAAGGTAGATCCAGGAGACCCGCTGAGCTGTGGATGTTTACTGATTGAGAGGGGTGCACAACAACTGGGCAAATCTGAGCTCTGTGTTAATGGAAAAAACAAGTGTTTGAAGTTTGTCGCTATGCACTGACTGAACTGCAGAGGGTGCTGGTGTTCAGAGTATCCCCATCACATGCAAAGAGTGGTTATGTCTGTACCTGAAGCACAGAGCAGCAGGGCCTGCTATACAGTGTGTAGGCAATGCAATTGTAAGGGTATGTTTGGTACAAACCAGAGGTAGAACTAGGAAATCCTACTTCAAAACCCCTTTTAACAATCCATTGTGTGATTTGTGGTGAATGCTGCTGTGTGTATGTAGTGGCTCTTTATGTAGTATAGCTCTCTGGAATAACAATGTGATTGTGTGGAGTGTGTATGTTTACATTGTATTAATCTGAAAATACAAGTAAAAATGATACCCTTACTGTGATATAACCACCATGTTTATTCAGACCACCCCCTGGCTCATTAACTTCAAAGAGAACAGTTGATTAAGTGCTCTCCCTGTGTGGCCACCATTCGCATAGTCGAACGCCACGTGCAGGAGAAAACGTCGGCCGTCTTGTTCACACGAAAGGTGGCAGCGGGACTTGGTCATCGAGTGTTTGGAAATAAAATTGGACACTTGTTTGACCGGGGTTCGGGAAGGCTTTACGAACGCCTGCTTCTTTTTTCCCAACAGCCAGGAGAGCGCTGTTCGGTAGTTTTGTTTCCACAAACTAAGGGAACAAATGCTGCTATGAGCCAGGGGGTACTGTTCGTGTAATTGTTCGGTTTCAAGACTTTCCGAAATAGACCAACCGCACAGCCTAATTTCATGGAACTATTTCTGGGGCGAGAACCTTGTGTGCGGTCGGTCAAATTAAGACATCCCTAGAATTCCAGAACCCCTGAACTGATCTGGGTGATTTTTGGATATGTTGGTCACCCAGATCAAGGCTATCGGGCAATATAACATTTGTAGGGAATTTGTGTTTTGGCAAAAAAAAAATTCTGCTCAGAGATAATTGTTATTACAGTATCTGACTCAATTATCTCCCAGGCAGAGAGTAGGGATTGTATGATGTGTAGGGGAGTGTCATACTTTGTAACCTTGTTGTAATTGGTTGTTAACTTTTTTTGGAGTCCCCCACAAGGCCCTTAGATGGAGACTTGCATAAAAGCCAGTGTGGCACCATTAAACTTCATTCCTGTTGTACCCGTCATCTAGTCTAGGCTGATGTTTGGGTAACTGTCTTCTTGCTGGGGAGAAACTACTTGGATGCTTCATTCGCCTGGAATCGTTTGAATCTACACCCGAACTACAAGCTATAATCACTCAGGCTTCAGCCGTTCGGGAGGAAATAAGCGAATGGATATCTACCATACCAGCGTTCGTAACACTTACATTAGTGGTTTATTTGATTACATGATGCAGAAAAGTTTTTGTGCTAAATACCCAATATTTAACACACCTGATATAGAGATATTGGCTGTGTTTCACTCTTGTGTTCAGATAAGTAAAAATCAAAACCTACAAAAAGTGTTCTACTTAGGACCAAGGCTGCTGCTACTTCCAGTGTGCTGAGCAAAATGTAAAGACTGAAATGTACACAAAATATCACACTCACTAGTCTAAACCTAAAAAGAGTAAGATTGTGTCGTGATTTTACACTTGCATTACTAGAGCTGTAATTGCCAAACTTTAGAAACCTATCAGGGTTACATTTCCTCTCTCACTGAACTTCACACAGCCAGTGAAAGCTGGGGTTCACATCATCAGTTGAGGATAAAAAAAAAAAAAAAATACATTTTCATAAAAGACAGATCTCAACAACCCAAAACCCTGAGTTATATAAATTTGTGTGTGTGTCATGTCAACTGGAAAATGAAGGGTTAGTGGAGATGTTTACAGCCAGCATTTTAATAATGATTATCATCAACTGACACCTGTAATATCTCCTTACTACAACCTTTCAATCTTAGAATTCTTCATTCTACAGACTCACCAGTTACCTACCTACTAATAGTCACTGAGACAAAACCAGTGACGGCTAACATTGAGCATCATGGGAATTGTAGTTCACGAATATCTGGGATGTTAAACTTGACTGCCTCTGATCCATACCTCAAAACAAGAAAATACAGATCTTGGTGTGCAGGGTGTGCACTGTATCTGTCTGCTCTCTAAACATCAACAGTATTTAAACGGAAATATTCCATAGTCTGGGAAGCAAAATAGAAAATGTTGAATTGCCCTCTTGTAATGGGATTCACTTTGAAAGCTCTCCTTTACATTGGAGTTAACTGTTAAAGTATTCAATTAAAGGGACACTACACTGACACTACATCGAACCAATTAGCACTATTTAGTAGATATACCACAATGACCGCATGCATTTTTCATTGGTGAGATGTCTAAAGCTTGTGAAGCCTGCATATCTCTTGTCTGAACCCTTCGCAAGGTCTCCCCTTCTAACCCCGCCCAGACTTTCTGTGGCTGTCCAATCACAAACTCCAAATGCAGTTCAATAAGAGATCTTTGCAAGGCTCTGGGCAATTTCTGCCTCTTGGGTTTATTTCCACTGAGCTAAACAACCAGGAAGTAAAAGGACTGGTTGTATGATTGACAGCCAGGGGGCTGTAACAAGGATAATTTATAAATGTGACAATCTCAATTTTTCGAAAATGGGGGGAAAAGGGGGCGTGCTCTTCACACACAAAGCAAGCTAAAGTACTTTAGAGGTCTGGAGTGTTGCAACATCCACTATCATCCGACATCTGTTGCGAGCCGGAAACTCCCTCCTGGATCCTATAACTTGTACAAACAAAAAAACACCTCTCTCTTTACGCAAGCATTGCGAAGAGCAACACTGAAACTCTGCTAACACCTCTGACTAGTCCAGCAGACAGAGCCTCTTCAAGTTTCCTGCAAGGCCTGTGTGCTCCTTGGGCGCGACCTGCCCCCTCCGCGCGCTCTTGACGTGGCCTGCGCGCTCCTTGGCGCGGCCTGCCTTCCCTGTGCGCTCCTTGGTGCCGCCAGCCCCCTCTGCTCGCTCCTTGGTGCGGCCTGCCCCCTCTGCGCGCTGCTTGGTGCCGCCAGCCCCCTCCGCACGCTCCTTGGTGCAGCCTGCCCCCTTTGCTCGCTCATTGGCACGGCCTGCCCCCTCTGCACGCTCCTTGGCATGGCCTATCTCCTCCGCACGCTCCTTGGCACCGCCTGCCCCCTTTGCGCGCTCCTTGGCATTGGCCAGCCCCCTCCTCTTGCTCCTTGGCATGGCATGCCCCCAACCTCCCCCCCGCCCATGCACTACTTTGCACGGCCTGCCCCCAAACCCCCTGTGCACTTCTTGGCATGGCCTTCTCCCCCCCCTCCCCACCCGTGCACTCCTTGGAGCATTACTTGTCCAGTTTAGCACTCGTCACATGAGATTGCTACATATACAGTTCTTACAATGTGACCAGCCCATTTTCTACATGATGTACTATTGTACCACTCTGTGTGAATGAATGTTAGCGGGCGTTTAAAGCGTATATGTGGAATGCATGGTGTGTGAGTAGCAGATCTAGGCATAGAGCTTTAGTGTGAAAGGGATATGAAATGATTAAACTCTCTTGGGTGAGCGAGTTAAACTGATAAGCAGGTCAGTGGAGGCTGTAGGTTAAATTTCCCATGATGCCTAGCTTGGCAAACACCCGCCTTTATAACAGTGTGTCTGTGAGCGTACTCTCAGTAATTGTAAACCAGACTGCAAATCACTAAAACAGCCCAGCTAGAACTTTACTGGAGTTGGAGCATTTTTACAAAATTTATTGTTTTAGTTCAAATATTAGAGTTCAGTTTCCATTCTACCGCCTTTCACTGGTGCGTGAGTTAACATCATTACTGATCCCTTCCATAGTTAGGGGCTTAGTGCGTAACCCCTGGGATCTGCGTACAGTGTGTGACTTGCTTCCTTGTACTGATCGCCTGTTTGGATTAAGGACCATGGACAGCGATGCTGTGTGTTAGAGCACACAGTTCTGTTTCTAAACTGGTTTTGTCTGATTCTACATGTTTGTTCTATTTACCCACTGTACAGCCCAGTGCTGTATGCCAAACGAAAACATAGTCTGCAATGACAAGTTTATCCCTTGCAAGTAACCAGTAGATCAGATTGTTTCTCTGTGACAAATCAAGCTAGCCGTGGTAATGGTGTGCTGGTAATTTCTGTGTATTATAAATAGAGGTCTTTAGACATGTTAGATCTACCTGATCTGTCTGTAGTCCTAGAACTCGCTGATACTATTCCGGGGAATGTGAGTGGTTACTGTGTGATTGAGGGTTTGGAGTATTACGGTTAGTGAATGTACATTTGCATGCCTTTAAGTTGTATGAGAACGCGGAGATTTTATGTAATAATATTATATTATAACTCTTAACACTTAATTACAACCCGTCCCACTTTTCATGGTATATTATAACTGGTTTTTATATATATATATATATATATATATATATATATATAATAATATAGTAAGTCCCCACCTTGGGCAGGTTTCTACTTGCAGTAACTTTAGTCTGAACCATAAATGCAGTTTATGGAGCGAATCCAGTGGTCACTGTGAACCCCGCATTGCATGGGATATTCTGAAAGGTTTGCTTACCTGTCCATGCGGTGTTTGACAGGGGTACAGAACATACTTGCTCAGCTTTGGACTACAATTCCCATTATTCTCTGCCATCCCCTGTCTGTTATGTTAAGAGTAACACTGTGTTTCAGCTCCACTTTGTGAAGAACTAGTTTTTAAAATTTTTCTCCTCTTTTCAGAACTTCTTTTCCTTGGGTTTAACCAATTACTGCTTGGAACAAAGGCCAAAAATCAAACGGCAATCGCTAGTAATGATAGATGTTGTAGCTGGCAGTGACTGAACTAGCCAGGTGCTTCCTGTCTCCTCGTTGATCCCATATAAGGGATTTTCCTGCAAGTTAATTATTAATACTGTGGTTGTACATCGTTATGGTGAATGAGAGCATTGTTGGGTACTAAGTAAGGCCCGCGGTTTCTCAGGGGTTGTGTATCAGTGTGCAGTCTGTGTAATAATGTATAGGTATGTATGGCTTGGTCTGCACCTTGTGACTGCGTGTGATGTATTTGGGTCAATATCTGCGCACGTTGGAGGAGATGCCCGTTGAAATGTGAGAATGAGTCCGGCCTCCTAAAATACTTACATATCAAACGCATTCTTTACACCATTCACCTGCGTGTTCGATTTCACCTAACAAATTCATGCATTTCCACGCTAACCATGCTGGTCTAATTTCACTCCCCTCCTTCCCTGACCTGCCGTTGTTCAACATTCAGATGGAGTAATGTTTTTGCATATCATTAAAGCTTTCTGCAGAACAACAGCGACATCTGCATGTGTCATAATATCAGCAATATCGGCATGCCAGGGCATGTGGGGGAGGGGAGTGTGACCCCAGCCATATAATTCACACCCATCCTATGCCATGGCTCAACTCCTGCTATGTCCCACCATGTCCCAAGTCCAGGTGGTCATTGAGAGGACATAGAGAAATAGAGAAAGTTAAAACAAACAGGTAATACTGTGTATGGTGAACACAAACAGGCTTCCATAACAGTCTTAATGATCAAAAGTCTCACCTGCCACATTTACACTTTGCTGCAATGCAAGTGCCTCGATATCCTGGGGTCTGCTCTAACGAAACGAGCTGCCAGCGTCTTGTGATTGGATGGAGGTGGGATCCCTGCTTTTAATGGTGGGTGCCAATGCGAATGACCCAGCGTGTGCAGGACATTGAGGAATAGGGACAGTGTAGGCTGCCCACTCATTTCCCGATACCAGCCTCTTTCCCAACTTTTCTCCGCTCAGAACATACTCCAGCTTGAGCAGCTCTAATGAGATGCAAATGAGATATGCACAAAGCCATACCCCGTAGGATGATTAACCACTGGAGACATTAGCTGCCGACTTCAGGCTGTGTGACTTTAATAACCCTCTGCCGCCCCTCCACTCTTGGTGGGGGCTCCTTACACCCCTTGGCAGAGGAGTAAGATTCCCGGACTCATTGCCCATCCTTGCGTTTCTCCAGCTGGGGGGGCTCTGGGCTCCCCTCATCCACATGCAGATTCCTCAGTGCTTGTCTTTGTAATCCAGACAGTGTAAGAGATGGCACTTCATTATTTCATAGTGTGCCAAAGCTCGTTAGCTGAACAATTATTCCTCATTAAAACCCATTGCGGGTTTATTAACAATGCAAAAAAATAAAAAAAGTAATGATATCCTCTGCGATTGGCATATGGTTAATCAGAAGACATCAGCGCAGCTGTAAATCCTGTGCGGGTTTTATATTCCAAGCCTGGTGTCTCTGCCCAACACAACGGGCAGCAGCACAAACCCTCTGTGTAGTTTTGTAAAATCCTCACCATGTTGGCGTGACTCTTATCTCACTGTATGCTTTTTTTTTTTTCAGCACCAGCCCTTGGCCCTGCACCCAGTGCCCACAGACCAAACAACAGGATCCAACTCCGCAACATCCATGTGAGTACCCCCATCACCACACCAGCGCTCACCACATAGCAGGGAACACGTTACATATACCCAGAGCTAGTGCCCGTCAGGGGCAGCACTCTTTTGTAAAGTGGCACACTGATGTGCTTGACTCCACGTTTCTGCTCCTATGTGTGACGCTCCATCCCTCCACATAGGCAGACCTAGGAGAAAAGGCTTTGGATCGGCCCCATTCATCTCCCTGGTGATAGCCGCAAATGCAGATAAATCTCTCTCAGCCTCCTGATCCTGCTGCTACTGGGAAGCTGCCTCTCCTGCTACGTACCTGCTTTGGAAGTGTTTGTGTGTCAATGTGTGTTAATAGGCGTAAGCTGAGTCCTGTGATTGTGCCTCCATGATGCAGATTGTGATGTATCCTGGGGCACAGAGGAGGTCCAAACACTTGACCACAGAAAGATGTGTCCATTGAGTAATGTAGCATTATATGCCCCCCATTTGCAGCCTTTCTCTTGCTGCTGGCATGTCCCTTGTCAATAAATGCCAGACAGCGGCCATGGTATATCGAGAAGTCTGTAGTGCCTGTGCCATCGCAGCCTCATAACGGGCCAAACCCTTTTGTTTGTTGTTGACGAGACGTTTCTATCTGTGTTGTTAATTGTGAAAATTTGAATACGAAACGAGCTAGCACAGCCGCAGTAAAAAGGAGTCCCCTGAGAAGTATCTGATGCCTTGCGAGATGCCAAGGTGTCCTTGGCACAGATCCTTGTTCCCAGCTGTCATTTTGTTGTGTTTTTTTCCCCTTTCTTTACATTTCCTTTGCTCGTTGTTAGCGCACATTACGTTCTCAGGGCGGGCATCCGCAACATGGCACCTCTGCTTTCCATGGTGTGGAAGGATACATTATTGCTTGTTCACTGCGGCAGAATCAGACTTGGGGGAGGGGAGCCACATCAGTCACCCCCAAACCCCCAGTCCCTGCCTCCTACATGTTCCCCGTGTCTCTCTGCCTTGTTTTCCTGGGTGAGCAGCCTAGCACTAGTACTCGATGCCCGTTCTTTGTCTGCTCCGAGGCTGTAAAGGATCCCCAGCCCTACACCATTGGCCGCCGTGACATATACCCGCTGCTGATATCATACGAAACTGTGGCGTTGCCACTGAATGGATGGCATCGTGCCAGCTCGTCTGCCATCCGCCCATGCAGCACTCTCCCCTCCTCCTCCTCCTGTCGGCTCGATGTTAATTAACAGACGGGCTAATTGATTTAAAAGCTGGAAAAAAAAATTACAGTTAACTTTTCCCAGAGGGTATGAGCGGCAGCAGGCTGGCATGGGTCTGCTGGGTGTGGGGGAGGGGGCAGGCACAACGAGCCTGCAGCAAACGAAAAACGTAGCAGCAAGGCAGCATTGGCTGCTTATTGGAGAACGGTGGTGAAACTGCCTCTGCATGACTGTATACTGCCATTATATTTTATTCGAAATAAGCTGGGCACTCCCTATTCCCTCCCCCTGGGACAAATGGGAGCCTTTCTGAACTTCTACCAAACCTCCCCTCCTCAACCAACCCCCAGTGACACCCTGCAATTAGGTAAAATAATCCCAGGTGACAGAATGCCAGGATACAATGAAATAATTATGAAGTGTTCACTCTCGCACCCAGCACCCCCTCCCCTTCTTGATACACAAGCGTTCATATAAATCGTCTTATCCCCCAAACCTCACGATTCCTCGCCAGGGCTAGTTTGTGTTTTCGGCACTTGGCACAGTGACTTGGATGAGGCTGGCGCTCTACACCCCCCAAACCCCCCTATGCCCGCTTCCCTGCAAAGCATCTTTTCCATCTCCTCTCCATGTGAAGAAGGCCTTCAGAGACTCTGAGCTCAGCCCCTACAGCACTGAACCAGTTAATTAAGAGCACAATTAGCCATGCAAATATGGGCTTTGTTTGGAGACTCCTCTCCAGAAGGAGTGTTTGTTTAGTGGGGGTTTGTGTCTGGCAGAGGGTGGACAGTAGAATGAGAAATGCCATCATCGCCCTATCTAGCCCTCCTTCCTGCACCTCTCTGGGAGATAACGCTGCGGAGAGCAAGGAGGAATACAATGAGCAAATCATCCTGCATTTGCATAATGTTCCCTGCCTTGAATATGCAGATTAGCTGTATAATTTATGAGTCCAGGCTCTGCAAATGGCTGCTGTGTGTGTTCCTTTCCTAGAGGTTTCTGTGAAGGGGCTTCTTATTGCCAGCTCGGCATAGCCCCTCGCAACTATCTATCTATCTACCTATATAGTATCTATCTATCTATCCATCTATCTATCTATATAGTATCTATGTATCTATCTACCTATCTATATCGTATCTATCTACCTATCTATACAGTATCTACCTATCTATCTATATAGTATCTATGTATCTATCTATCTATCCAGTATCTATCTACCTATCTATACAGTATCTACCTATCTATATAGTATCTATGTATCTATGTATCTATCTATCTATCTATCTATCCAGTATCTATCTACCTATCTATACAGTATCTACCTATCTATCTATATAGTATCTATGTATCTATCTATCTATCTATCTATCTATCTATCCAGTATCTATCTATCTACCTATCTATCTATACAGTATCTACCTATCTATCTATCTATCCAGTATCTATCTATCTATCTACCTATCTATCTATCTATCTATCTATCTATCCAGTATCTACCTATCTATCTATATAGTATCTATCTACCTATCTATCTATATAGTATCTATGTATCTATCCAGTATCTATCTATCTACCTATCTATATAGTATCTATCTACCTATATATCTATACAGTATCTATCTATCTATCTATCTACCTATCTATACAGTATCTATCTACCTATCTATACAGTATCTATCTATCTATCTATCTACCTATCTACCTATATAGTATCTATCTATCTATCTATCTATCTATCTATCTATCCAGTATCTATCTATCTATCTATATAGTATCTATCTATCAATACTCTATCTATCTATACGCTTTCTATCTATCTATCCATCTATCTATACTCTTTCTATCTATACGCTTTCTATCTATCTATACAGTATCTATCTATACAGTATCTATCTACCTATCTATTTATCTACCTATCTATACAGTATCTATCTATACAGTATCTGTCTACCTATCTATTTATCTATCTATCTACCTACCTATCTATCTATACAGTATCTATCTACCTATTTATTTATCTATACATACAGTATCTATCTATTTATCTATTTCTATATATCTCCGTCTATCTATCTATCTATACAGTATCTGTCTCTGTCTATCTATCTATCTATCTATACTCTTTCTTTCTTTCTGTCTGTCTGTCTGTCTATCTATCCTCTTTCTTTCTGTCTATCTATCTATACTCTTTCTTTTCATCTCTCTCTCTCTCTCTATCTATACTCTTTCTATCTATCTATCTATCTATCTATCCAGTATCTATCTACCTATCTATATAGTATCTATCTACCTATATATCTATACAGTATCTACCTATCTATCTATATAGTATCTATCTATCCAGTATCTATCTATCTATCTATCTACCTATCTATCTATATAGTATCTATCTATCTATCTATACAGTATCTACCTATCTACCTATCTATCTATATAGTATCTATCTACCTATCTATCTATATAGTATCTATGTATCTATCCAGTATCTATCTATCTACCTATCTATATAGTATCTATCTATCTATCCAGTATCTATCTATCTACCTATCTATATAGTATCTATCTACCTATATATCTATACAGTATCTACCTATCTATATAGTATCTACCTATCTATCTATATAGTATCTACCTATCTATCTATATAGTATCTATCTATCTATCTATCTATCTATACAGTATCTATCTATCTACCTATCTATATAGTATCGATTTACCTATCTATCTATATAGTATCTATGTATCTATCCAGTATCTATCTATCTACCTATCTATATAGTATCTATCTATCTATCCAGTATCTATCTATCTACCTATCTATATAGTATCTATATACCTATATATCTATACAGTATCTACCTATCTATCTATCTATACAGTATCTACCTATCTATCTATCTATATAGTATCTATCTATCTACCTATCTATATAGTATCTATCTACCTATATATCTATACAGTATCTATCTATCTATCTATACAGTATCTATCTATCTATATAGTATCTATGTATCTATCCAGTATCTATCTATCTACCTATATATATAGTATCTATCTATCTATCTATCTATCTATCTATCTATCTATCTATCCAGGATCTACCTATCTACCTATCTATCTATATAGTATCTATCTACCTATCTATCTATATAGTATCTATGTATCTATCCAGTATCTATCTATCTACCTATCTATATAGTATCTATCTATCTATCCAGTATCTATCTATCTACCTATCTATATAGTATCTATCTACCTATATATCTATACAGTATCTACCTATCTATATAGTATCTACCTATCTATCTATATAGTATCTACCTATCTATCTATATAGTATCTATCTATCTATCTATCTATACAGTATCTATCTATCTACCTATCTATATAGTATCGATTTACCTATCTATCTATATAGTATCTATGTATCTATCCAGTATCTATCTATCTACCTATCTATATAGTATCTATCTATCTATCCAGTATCTATCTATCTACCTATCTATATAGTATCTATATACCTATATATCTATACAGTATCTACCTATCTATCTATCTATACAGTATCTACCTATCTATCTATCTATACAGTATCTACCTATCTATCTATCTATATAGTATCTATCTATCTATCTATACAGTATCTATCTATCTACCTATCTATATAGTATCTATCTACCTATATATCTATACAGTATCTATCTATCTATCTATACAGTATCTATCTATCTATATAGTATCTATCTATCTATATAGTATCTATCTATCTATCTATACAGTATCTACCTATCTATCTATCTATCTATCTATCTATCCAGGATCTACCTATCTACCTATCTATCTATATAGTATCTATCTACCTATCTATCTATATAGTATCTATGTATCTATCCAGTATCTATCTATCTACCTATATATATAGTATCTATCTATCTATCTATCTATCTATCCAGGATCTACCTATCTACCTATCTATCTATATAGTATCTATGTATCTATCCAGTATCTATCTATCTACCTATATATATAGTATCTATCTATCTATCTATCTATCCAGTATCTATCTATCTATCTATCTATCTATATATCTATACAGATATATATATATATATAGTATCTATCTACCTATATATCTATACAGTATCTACCTATCTATCTATACAGTATCTACCTATCTATCTATATAGTATCTATCTACCTATCTATCTATATAGTATCTATGTATCTATCCAGTATCTATCTATCTACCTATATATATAGTATCTATCTATCTATCCAGTATCTATCTATCTATCTACCTATCTATATAGTATCTATCTACCTATATATCTATACAGTATCTACCTATCTATCTATCTATACAGTATCTACCTATCTATCTATATAGTATCTATCTATCTATACAGTATCTATCTATCTATCTATATAGTATCTATCTACCTATATATCTATACAGTATCTATCTATCTATCCAGTATCTATCTATCTATATAGTATCTATCTATCTATCTATCCAGTATCTATCTATCTACCTATCTATATAGTATCTATCTACCTATATATCTATACAGTATCTACCTATCTATCTATATAGTATCTATCTATCTATATAGTATCTATCTATCTATACTCTATCTATCTATACGCTTTCTATCGATCTATCCATCTATCTATACTCTTTCTATCTATACGCTTTCTATCTATCTATACAGTATCTATCTACCTATCTACCTACCTATCTATACAGTATCTATCTATACAGTATCTGTCTATCTGTCTACCTATCTATTTATCTATCTATCTATCTACCTACCTATCTATCTATACAGTATCTATCTATCTACCTATCTATTTATCTATACATACAGTATCTATCTATTTATCTGTTTCTATATATCTCCGTCTATCTATCTATACAGTATCTGTCTCTGTCTATCTATCTATCTATCTATACTCTTTCTGTCTGTCTGTCTATCTATCTATCCTCTTTCTTTCTATCTATCTATCTATACTCTTTCTTTTCATCTCTCTCTCTCTCTATCTATACTCTTTCTATCTATCTATCTATCTATCTATCCTCTCTTTCTATCGGTCTATCTATCCTCTTTCTTTTCATCTCTCTCTATCTATACTCTTACTATCGATCTATCTATCTATACTCTTTCTTTCTATCTATCTATCTATCTATCTATCTATACTCTATCTATCTATCTATCTATCCTCTTTCTATCTATCTATCCTCTTTCTATCTATCTGTCTATCTATCTATACTCTTTCTTTTCATCTCTCTCTCTCTCTCTCTCTCTATCCTCTTTCTATCGGTCTATCTATCCTCTTTCTTTTCATCTCTCTCTATCTATACTCTTTCTTTCTATCTATCTATCTATACTCTTTCTTTCTATCTATCTATACTCTTTCTTTTCATCTCTCTCTCTCTCTATCTATACTCTTTCTATCTATCTATCTATCTATCTATCTATCCTCTCTTTCTATCGGTCTATCTATCCTCTTTCTTTTCATCTCTCTCTATCTATACTCTTACTATCGATCTATCTATCTATCTATACTCTTTCTTTCTATCTATCTATCTATCTATACTCTATCTATCTATCCTCTTTCTATCTATCTGTCTATCTATCTATACTCTTTCTTTTCATCTCTCTCTCTCTCTCTCTCTCTCTCTCTCTCTCTCTCTATCCTCTTTCTATCGGTCTATCTATCCTCTTTCTTTTCATCTCTCTCTATCTATTCTCTTTCTATCTATCTATCTATCTATACTCTTTCTATCTATCTATATATCTATCCTCTTTCTTTCTGTCTGTCTATCTATACTCTTTCTATCTATCTATCTATCTATCTATCTATCTATATACGCTTTCTATCTATCTATCTATACTCTTTCTATCTATCTGTCTATCTATACTCTTTCTATCTATCTATCTATACGCTTTCTATCTATCTATACTATTTCTATCTATCTATCTATCTATACTCTTTCTATCTATACTCTTTCTATCTATACTCTTTCTATCTATCTATCTATACGCTTTCTTTCTATCTATCTATCTATACTCTTTCTATCTATACGCTTTCTATCTGCCAATGTTCTATGTATCAATATTTGATCTATTTATCTATTTATTCAATGTGTCTGTCCATCTATGCATATACTATCTATTTGTGTATATCTTATCTTTCTAGCCATGGGTGTATATTCTATTTATCTAGCCGTCGTCCCTTAATTAAAATCCTATCTGGAATGGCTTAGTCATAGTGAATAACATTAGGTTTCAATTTCTTTCTCTAAGATAAAACAAAATCACAAAACGTTATTATAATTCACCATACAGATGTGTGTACACAGTCTGTGTATATGTGGAATGATGTGTTTCATACAATGTATCAATGGACGTGTGTGTACACAGTCTGTGTATATGTGGAATGATGTTTCATACAACGTATCAATGGATGTGTGTGTACACAGTTTGTGTATATGTGGAATGACGTGTGTGCACACAGTCTGTGTATATGTGGAATGACGTGTGTGCACACAGTCTGTGTATATGTGGAATGATGTGATGCATACAATGTATCAGTGGATGTGTGTGTACACAGTTTGTGTATATGTGGAATGATGTGATGCTTATAATGTATCAATGGATGTGTGTGTACACAGTCTGTGTATATGTGGAATGATGTGTTTCATACAATGTATCAATGGATGTGTGTGTACACAGTCTGTGTATATGTGGAATGATGTGATGCATACAATGTATCAATGGATGTGTGTGTACACAGTCTGTGTATATGTGGAATGATGTGATGCATACAATGTATCAATGGATATGTGTGTACACAGTCTGTGTATATGTGGAATGATGTGTTTCATACAATGTATCAATGGATGTGTGTGTACACAGTCTGTGTATATGTGGAATGATGTGTCATACAATGTATCAATGGATGTGTGTGTACACAGTCTGTGTATATGTGGAATGATGTGTTTCATACAATGTATCAATGGATGTGTGTGTACACAGTCTGTGTATATGTGGAATGATGTGATGCTTACAATGTATCAATGGATGTGTGTGTACACAGTCTGTGTATATGTGGAATGATGTGATGCTTATAATGTATCAATGGATGTGTGTGTACACAGTCTGTGTATATGTGGAATGATGTGATGCATACAATGTATCTATGGATGTGTGTGTACACAGTCTGTGTATATGTGGAATGATGTGTTTCATACAATGTATCAATGGATGTGTGTGTCCACAGTCTGTGTATATTTGGAATGATGTGATGCTTATAATGTATCAATGGATGTGTGTGTACACAGTCTGTGTATATGTGGAATGATGTGATGCATACAATGTATCAATGGATGTGTGTGTACACAGTCTGTGTATATGTGGAATGATGTGTTGCATACAATGTATCAATGGATGTGTGTGTACACAGTCTGTGTATATGTGGAATGATGTGTTTCATACAATGTATCAATGGATGTGTGTGTCCACAGTCTGTGTATATTTGGAATGATGTGATGCTTATAATGTATCAATGGATGTGTGTGTACACAGTCTGTGTATATGTGGAATGATGTGATGCATACAATGTATCAATGGATGTGTGTGTACACAGTCTGTGTATATGTGGAATGATCTTGTTCTGCATCCACAATGTGATGGATGTGTGTGTGCACGGTCTGTGTATGTGTGGAATGATGTGTTTGTGGTATCAGTGGATGTTGGTCTGTGTATATGTGTGGAATGATGTGTTTCATACAATGTATCAATGGATGTGTGTGTGCACGGTCTGTGTATATGTGGATGATGTTGTATACAATGTATCAGTGGATGTTACATATACCAGTCTGTGTATATGTGGAATGATGTGTTTCATACAATCAAGTGGATGTGTGTGTACACAGTCTGTGTATATGTGGAATGATGTGATGCTTACAATGTATCAATGGATGTGTGTGTACACAGTCTGTGTATATGTGGAATGATGTGATGCTTATAATGTATCAATGGATGTGTGTGTACACAGTCTGTGTATATGTGGAATGATGTGATGCATACAATGTATCTATGGATGTGTGTGTACACAGTCTGTGTATATGTGGAATGATGTGTTTCATACAATGTATCAATGGATGTGTGTGTCCACAGTCTGTGTATATTTGGAATGATGTGATGCTTATAATGTATCAATGGATGTGTGTGTACACAGTCTGTGTATATGTGGAATGATGTGATGCATACAATGTATCAATGGATGTGTGTGTACACAGTCTGTGTATATGTGGAATGATGTGTTGCATACAATGTATCAATGGATGTGTGTGTACACAGTCTGTGTATATGTGGAATGATGTGTTTCATACAATGTATCAATGGATGTGTGTGTCCACAGTCTGTGTATATTTGGAATGATGTGATGCTTATAATGTATCAATGGATGTGTGTGTACACAGTCTGTGTATATGTGGAATGATGTGATGCATACAATGTATCAATGGATGTGTGTGTACACAGTCTGTGTATATGTGGAATGATGTGTTTCATACAATGTATCAATGGATGTGTGTGTACACAGTCTGTGTATATGTGGAATGATGTGTTTCATACACTGTATCAATGGATGTGTGTGTACACAGTCTGTGTATATGTGGAATGATGTGATGCATACAATGTATCAATGGATGTGTGTGTACACAGTCTGTGTATATGTGGAATGATGTGTTTCATACAATGTATCAATGTGTGTGTGTTTCATTAATATATAATTCCTCAATGCTTGTTATATGGTGCGGTTCAGTCTGCCAGTAGACATGATCCGAGTTCCTTTCCCATTTTGCTGTGAGCTAGAGCTGGGATGGTCCCACAGTCTGCTGGATATGGCTGATTTACAGATCACCTGAGAAGTACACCTGATTTGTGGACATGGGATGTGTGAAGTTCAGGTAGATAAAATCCCAGGGACGGGTGGCATCATCTTACAAATGCATTGCAGTGACACACGCCTGGTACTAGTAATAAGTGGAACCTTTGTAGTTAATCATCTGGGAGCTTGTCTTCTCTGCATGTGTCTCTGTGTAGTCTATCTATTTTATACACGTCTCATGATTCTTAATGTTCTATTTTCCATTAAATGTACAACTGAATATCTTTCCATTCTCCCTATTGTCATTTCCATGGGGTGTTCCGCCAGATCAATGGAAATGGCTTCTCTTTACGTGAACTTATCGTGTGTGAGTTTCCCTATCTATAGCAGGACCGGGGTTGGCTGAGTGAGAGGGGACTGTCCTGGGACTGCGGGAGAGAGATTACCACGCTCTAGCCATACAATCATTCAGTTATGAAATGCTGAATTAAATAGACAGAAATTGTTACTGTAGAAATATAGCGTGCCAATAAGAAAAACAAATGGCAACATTGATAGATCCTATTGGCTGTGGCTATTCTACGATGTGATGCTCACCATCGCCCCATCTCCAATCATTATCATTGGTATTTATACAGCATTAACATTGTTTTTAATTAGTTGGAAAGCAATACTTGCGAATCGTACTTTACTGAATTATATATAAATCCAAGAGGCTGCCCTCACCTGAACATGCATACATAGGGTGCTGCTACACACAAAATCCATTCACTAAACAGCAATGTAATCATTTTCTTTAAAAACACCTCACCTAGGCAGAAAATAATGGGCGCATAGTCACAATATATAATCATACGTTGCAAAAGCCTGCCACAACCTGTGAGCCTTGAAATGGTGGGCTAGTGAAAGAGTGAATGTGCTGGATCTTAAATTGTATTTTTGTATATTGTAAATAAAAGCTAATTTTTATTTTTCTACTGAAAAAGTCCTTGGAGTGTTGTCGTGGAGAGTAAGTGTATATATATTTTTAAGGCCAGAGACCTGTAATTGTGGGAGGAGTTAGCGTTCCTTTAAAACCCCTTTCCTCTCTCTTACCTGGGTCGTGCCATACACCTCTCCCCCTCTTCCACTTTCAATCTTGGTAGGCCCTCTACCCATACGTCGGTTTCAGCCACTACCGATTTGCACCATCACCTGTGTTATCACACCTTACCATAAATATACACACCCAGACAATCCAGGGACAGTCTGAGCGGAATTATCCACACGATTATTATTACACGCCACGACAACATTAACAGAACTAGTTCTCAAGGTTTAAATCCTTTATTTTAGAGCAGTGAGGAATTCTGTCGCCTACACGTGGCTGAGAGAGCATATACAGTGTATGAGTTCCACTACGTCGTACCACAAGTGGTCTCTTTCTCACAGCATTTGTACACGTGGGACACGGCAGTGTGGTCCATGTATTTTCCTATACTTTGCGTATACTCTGTTTCCTTGTTTGCCTGCGATCCCATTAATCTTTGGAAACGTAAAAACATTTTGTTTCTTTAGTGACTGCCTCACGGTATACATTCTTTATACTATGCACCCTCACTGTGTACATTCTTTATACTATACATCCTCACTGTGTACACCCTCACTGTGTACACTCTTTATACTATACATCCTCACTGTGTACACCCTCACTGTGTACACTCTTTATACTATACATCCTCACTGTGTACACTCTTTATACTATACATCCTCACTGTGTACACTCTTTATACTATACACCATTTACAGTGTACACCCTTTACACTATACACCCTCACTGTGTACACCCTTTACACTATACACCTTCACTGTGTACACCCTTTACACTATACACCCTCACTGTGTACACCCTTTACACTATACACCCTCACTGCGTACACTCTTTACACTGTACACTCTTTACACTATGCACCCTCACTGTGGACACCCTTTACACTATGCACCCTCACTGTGTACACCCTTTACACTATGCACCCTCACTGTGTACACCCTTTACACTATGCACCCTCACTGTGTACACTCTTTACACTATACACCCTCACTGTGTACACTCTTTACACTATACACCCTCACTGTGTACACTCTTTACACTGTACACTCTTTACACTATACACCCTCACTGTGGACACCCTTTACACTATGCACCCTCACTGTGTACACCCTTTACACTATGCACCCTCACTGTGTACACCCTTTACACTATACACCCTCACTGTGTACACCCTTTACACTATACACCCTCACTGTGTACCCTCTTTACACTATGCACCCTCACTGTGTACCCTCTTTACACTATACACCCTCACTGTGTACACCCTTTACACTATGCACCCTCACTGTGTACACTCTTTACACTATACACCCTCACTGTGTACACTCTTTACACTATACACCCTCACTGCGTACACTCTTTACACTGTACACTCTTTACACTATACACCCTCACTGTGGACACCCTTTACACTATGCACCCTCACTGTGGACACCCTTTACACTATACACCCTCCCTGTGTACACCCTTTACACTATACACCCTCACTGTGTACCCTCTTTACACTATGCACCCTCACTGTGTACCCTCTTTACACTATGCACCCTCACTGTGTACCCTCTTTACACTATACACCCTCACTTTGTACACCCTTTACACTATACACCCTCACTGTGTACACCCTTTACACTATACACCCTCACTGTGTACACCCTTTACACTATACACCCTCCCTGTGTACACTCTTTACACTATACACCCTCCCTGTGTACCCTCTTTACACTATACACCCTCACTGTGTACCCTCTTTACACTATACACCCTCACTGTGTACCCTCTTTACACTATACACCCTCACTGTGTACACCCTTTACACTATACACCCTCACTGTGTACACCCTTTACACTATACACCTTCACTGTGTACACCCTTTACACTATACACCCTCACTGTGTACACCCTTTACACTATACACTCTCACTGTGTACACCCTTTACACTATACACCCTCCCTGTGTACCCTCTTTACACTATACACCCTCCCTGTGTACACTCTTTACACTATACACCCTCACTGTGTACACTCTTTACACTATACACCCTCCCTGTGTACACCCTTTACACTATACACCCTCACTGTGTACACCCTTTACACTATGCACCCTCACTGTGTACCCTCTTTACACTATACACCCTCACTGTGTACACTCTTTACACTATACACCCTCACTGTGTACCCTCTTTACACTATACAACCTTTACTGTGTACCCTCTTTACACTATACACCCTCACTGTGTACCCTCTTTACACTATACACCCTCACTGTGTACACTCTTTACACTATACACCCTCACTGTGTACACCCTTTACACTATACACCCTCACTGTGTACACTCTTTACACTATACACCCTCACTGTGTACACTCTTTACACTATACACCCTCACTGTGTACCCTCTTTAAACTATACACCCTCACTGTGTACACTCTTTACACTATACATCCTCACTGTGTACACCCTTTACACTATACACCCTCACTGTGTACACCTTATACATCTTACAGACTCCCTATTCACTCTCACTATACACCCCTTACACTATACCATCACTATGTAAACTTTCCACTATATACCATCACTATACACCTTCGGTATTACACTATTCACTCTCACTATGCAGCTTATACTCGTTATACACTCTTTACACTACACCATCACTATACACCGTACACCTTCAGTATACACTTGCGCACTATATATCCATATAATACATTCACGCTTTAAGCACCATACACTAAACCAAACTACCTTTTAGGATGCCCAATGGAGGGTGTCCAGTACAATACCTTTTTTATAACCATGATGTATAGTTGGTAAAACAATTGTAAACCCAGCTAATAAACTGCAGTGAATTCCTCAGATCCTCCTTGTTTTGTTGGTGGCATTGTGCACTCTGATAACGTGCTCGTTGGACAGACTCACTGATGGGGTGAAACAGGGAAAGTCATTGGGAGCTTGGAAAAAGTACTGTTTGAGTACTGTTAACACTTTGCAGTCCTTGTATGTTAAAGGTCTACTCTCATTCTTCATTAACCCTTCACACCCCACACAATATCCTTTCACCCTGCCCTCACACACACACACAGCTGGCGGCCCTAACATGTATGTCTGTCCAGAGGGGCCGTGCGGGAGCTGGAAGCCTTGGAAGACCTGGTGATGACCAAAGAGCAGCTGATTCAACAGTTACACACTCAGCTGAGGGACGCCATCCACAGTCAGGAGCTGAGCCGCATGGAGGTGAGTGCACACTCATAGTTTTCCTTCCCAGTGGGTTTAAACTGGGGTCTCCATCTCTGCAGTTACAGAACGGGTCACCTTATGTAGAACATCTCGTGTACCAGAAAGCCATAGTAAAATCACAGGGGTAGATAGATAGATAAATATCTGGACACTAGCTTGCTGCCTCCCTCTCCCTCCCGGGGACATTATTGTAACGCTGTCCCTGTGCGCAGCTGGGAGCGAACATTTAATAGCCCATACTCCCTTCGCGTTCACCCTGCACCATTCTCCCAGCCTTCCAGTACAAGACAATCTAATGCTCATATCTCAGCCTGGAATCTATCATGACGAATGGCTGAGTAATGGACTTGGAGTACATTAGTGAAGCCCAGAGTAATGGCCAGCTGTTGCCTGTGGCTCCTAATGCTGATCACTCATAGTGTCTTCAGCTCATTAGCTGCTGGCAGACTTGGCTCCTGTACAGGTGGATAGCAGCCCGGCTTGATTTGTATACTGTGGGATATAGCAAGGTAGAGCGGAGAGTATAATATGGCACTGAACGCATTACATGTTATATATGAGGTTATGTTTTAGGACTTCCACCTGGCACGGAGCTCCTGTGCTGCGCAACGCTTGTGCTTTTCCCAATTATGTCCTGAGCTCATTGCTTTACTGTAAGACTGTTACTTTATAGTCTTTTGATTCCAACCTTCCTTTTCTGTCTTTTTTCCACCTCTAGTATTCCTATCTCCTGCTATTATCGGCTCTTGGTTTATCTTCGTAACTTTCTTCATTGTCTCTTTCATCTCACATGATCCTTATCCCACCACGTTGTGCGTCTTCCCTCTGATCAGATCCTTGAAAAGGATGATCGGCTACAGGAGCTACAGACGATTATTACTGAACTGCATGAGGAGATCTCGCTGAAAGACGCCAAGGCAGTAACGCATCTACAGGAAAAACATCAGCTGGAGAATCGGCTCAAAGCTCTGAGTCCGCCCGTGAGTTCTGTCCTCACATTGCTCGCGGCATGATGTTTCATGGGGTGATTTGTGTACACGAACAAGGGATCCCTGGACATTCTAATCTACAATTTGCAGTTTTATTGTCAATTATCTTTATTTCCTAGTTTAATCTGAAAGCTTTTCTCTGTGTGTAATTATAATCATTATATATGATTTCACTCGATCAGGTTACCGGGAGCCAGACTGACGCGTCTTTAGTAGATTCCCTTGCAGCGGTCTCCAAAACAAATGAACTACTGAAAACAGAGGTCGGTGTGAGTGGGGGCTTTGTTGACGGAGGTGGGATTGATAATTGGGTTAAGGTAGAGGGGGTTAGACAGCATCCACACGGAAGAGCAGCCATGGTGGTTTGGGATAAGGTCAAGTGTTTATAAAAAGAATACATGGGTGGAAAGGAAAAGCAAGTATGGAAAGTGTAGTGTTTTTTCTTGATTGGACATGTCTAATGATTTCATATGGATGTTCGTTCCCCTTGTTCATTATACAAAAATCTAGATACCTGACCCACCCTGCATTTATCTCTAAACACTAATTTCTACCTCTTCCAGTTGGATCGAAGAGATGGGGAGTTGAGAAATGCTCAGTCTGTGCTTCTTGCTGTCCAGAACACACGGGATGTACTGTCCTGCGAGGTAACACAGGATCCCAGTCTCCAATAGCCTCAATATTGTGCTTCTTACCTGATGGCTAAATCACCGATATCCTCTCTTTTTACAAGCTGGATGCCCAGGAACAGCAAGTGTACAGACTCCAGCGGGAGCTTAAAGAGAGACAGGAAGAACTGGAGCAGAGACACAGCCGCATACAGCAGCTTCATCAGGATCTCGAGACCTACTCCAGCCAACGAGAAGAGGCCCACCGGCAGGCAAGATATTCCCTGGCAACCTGAGGGGCCACATTACCGCTTTCTGAATTATTTTAACATTTTCAGAATACACAAAAAAGATTTCCCTAATATTGACAATCAGTAGATACTCCCCTTTGACGTTCATATCTTTCTTGCAGTAAGCTGTGTCCAGAAAGAGGAAAGCATGAACTTCTTGCCATGATGTGAGAGTAAGGGGTGGACGTATAGCTACAAATCTTCACTTCACTATAGCTTCACTTGTTATACACCATGTGTGGGCAGTTATAATACACAGTGGGCAGAGAGACAGATACAGGGGACCTCCGTACAGCGTAACCTTATAGCTACAGTTATATTACACTGTGTGCGGGGAGACAGGGGACCTCCTTACACCATAACCTTATAGCTGCAGTTATAATACACTATGTGCAGGGAGACAGGGGATCTCCTTACACCATAACCTTATAGCTGCAGTTATAATACACTGTGTGCGGAGAGACAGTGGACCTCCTTACACCATAACCTTATAGTTGCAGTTATAATACACTGTGTGCGGGGAGACAGGGGATCTCCTTACACCATAACCTTATAGCTGCAGTTACAACACACTGTGTGCGGGGAGACAGGGGACCTCCTTACACCATAACCTTATAGCTGCAGTTATAATACACTGTGTGCGGGGAGACAGGGGACCTCCTTACACCATAACCTTATAGCTGCAGTTATAATACACTGTGTGCGGGGAGACAGGGGATCTCCTTACACCATAACCTTATAGCTGCAGTTATAATACACTGTGTGCGGGGAGACAGGGGCCTCCTTACACCATAACCTTATAGCTGCAGTTATAATACACTGTGTGCGGGGAGACAGGGGACCTCCTTACACCATAACCTTATAGCTGCAGTTATAATACACTGTGTGCGGGGAGACAGGGGACCTCCTTACACCATAACCTTATAGCTGCAGTTATAATACACTGTGTGCAGGGAGACAGGGGACTTCCTTACACCATAACCTTATAGCTGCAGTTATAATACACTGTGTGCGGGGAGACAGGGGACCTCCTTACACCATAACCTTATAGCTGCAGTTACAATACACTGTGTGCGGGGAGACAGGGGACCTCCTTACACCATAACCTTATAGCTGCAGTTATAATACACTGTGTGCGGGGAGACAGGGGACCTCCTTACACCATAACCTTATAGCTGCAGTTATAATACACTGTGTGCGGGGAGACAGGGGATCTCCTTACACCATAACCTTATAGCTGCAGTTATAATACACTGTGTGCGGGGAGACAGGGGACCTCCTTACACCATAACCTTATAGCTGCAGTTATAATACACTGTGTGCGGGGAGACAGGGGACCTCCTTACACCATAACCTTATAGCTGCAGTTATAATACACTGTGTGCGGGGAGACAGGGGACCTCCTTACACCATAACCTTATAGCTGCAGTTATAATACACTGTGTGCGGGGAGACAGGGGACCTCCTTACACCATAACCTTATAGCTGCAGTTATAATACACTGTGTGCATGGGGAGACAGGGGGACCTCCTTACACCATAACCTTATAGCTGCAGTTATAATACACTGTGTGCGGGGAGACAGGGGACCTCCTTACACCATAACCTTATAGCTGCAGTTATAATACACTGTGTGCGGGAGACAGGGGACCTCCTTACACCATAACCTTATAGCTGCAGTTATAATACACTGTGTGCGGGGAGACAGGGGACCTCCTTACACCATAACCTTATAGCTGCAGTTATAATACACTGTGTGCGGGTAGACAGGGTACCTCCTTACACCATAACCTTATAGCTGCAGTTATAATACACTGTGTGCGGGGAGACATGGGTCCTCCTTACACCATAACCTTATAGCTGCAGTTATAATACACTGTGTGCGGGGAGACATGGGACCTCCTTACACCATAACCTTATTGCTGCAGTTTTACTGTGTGGAGAGACAGGGGACCTCCTTAAACCATAACCTTAAAGCTGCAGTTATAATACACTGTGTGCGGGGAGACATGGGACCTCCTTACACCATAACCTTATTGCTGCAGTTTTACTGTGTGGAGAGACAGGGGACCTCCTTAAACCATAACCTTAAAGCTGCAGTTATAATACACTGTGTGCAGGGAGACCAGGACAGGGGACCTCAGTGTTGTACCAAGCGCTTGCATTTAGGGGATACCTGTCTTCAAGCTGCTGTGGACTATTAACTCCTATCCTTAGCATGTGAATGATTTGAAGCACTTTCAGCTAGTTTGCATACACCTGCTTGTCACTATGTAGACAAAATGAAAAACAAAATGCTGTGTGCGCATGTCTGCTGGTGAGTAACATTTAGGGGTGTATGTTAGTATTTAGTAATAGTCTGTGGCTTCCAGCATCACTTTTCACATTTCCTGTTGCCAGGTATCAGAGTGCAACATGCGCCTCTCCCAGCTGGAAGGAGAAAATTATGCTTTAAAGGTGCGTCATCGAGAGCAAGAAGCGGAGGTAAAGTCATTACTCCTGATGGAGATTGGGAACATTTTCTGCCATGTTCCAGTGCTTCTCTTAAGGAAGCTTTGTTTTGTTTTGTTTTTTGGTAGATCGAGAAGCTGAGGAGAGAGTCGCTGAGCAAGCAGAGAGCAGACATGACGCAGCCAGCTTGGGATCTGGAGCAGAGATTTTCAGATGCAGAGAGCCATGATCAGGAGAGTCATGGGACCATCCAGCAACTGCGTGCAGAGCTCAGAGAGGCTGCGTTTACTGTAAGTCTATATAGACAGTGAGGGGCATTTCTAACATTCTGTGCTTTTCCCATCACTAGTCTCACTGTGATATCTTATCCCTGACACAGCTTCCACCATCACAATCCAAAATCTTAATCAGGTGCCAGATGGTTTACTTCCTGCTGTTACCTGCATTAGGAGCTCTTTCTGTCCCTTAGCAGAGTTACTGGCCATTTGTTAAAGTGCAGCTTGCCTCACATTCTCTGCAGGACTGCAAGTACCTTCCACCAGGTTACCTGAACTCACCGGATACTGGAACCACCTGTTGGTGGGTCTGCTGTACGGGTCAGATTTCTGTGCATTATTATTATTATTATTATTGATAAAGCGCCAACAAATTGTGCAGCGCTGTACAATGGGATTGATTTTATATTTAAATAAATTCTTCTTCGTTGTAGATTTCTAGTTCTAGTCCTTTGTTTGATAAAAATTCTAAGTAAAAAAAATAAGTTTCTATAAATTATTATTCTAAGTGACATTTATATGGAGCCAACTTATTCCGCAACGCTTTCCAATATTATAAAAGGGGGTAAGTTAACCATAAATGAGACAATTACAAAATGTTACAGGAACAATAGGTCGATGAGGAACTTGTTTAACATGAGCTTACAGTTTGGAGTGCTTAAAGTAACATACAAACTTGTATTCCTGAACCTATAAAACCACCATTTATGTGGCTTGCCCACTTAGAAAGGGTTAAACCCTTTCTCCAGCTCTCCAGCAGGTTCTGGCCCCGTCCCGCACCGATCCACCTCTTTGGCTGCCATAATCAGAAATGATGATCTCAACCAATCCAATGCTTTCCCTAGAGAAGGGTAAGATCATCAACCTGGCCAATCCGCATCTCCTCATAGAGATACATTAAATCAGTGCATCTTTATAAGGAAACTTCAGTGTCTCCATGCAGAGGGTGGAGACACTGAATTTCAGTCACACCTTTAGCCATCTGAGGAGAGGCCAGTGGAGGTATCCCTAGGCTGCAATGTAAACACTGTCTTTACTCTGCAAATTTATGGCAAAAAGGCTGAAGGAAATGATTCTACTCACCAGAACAAATTCAATAAGCTGTAGTTGTTCTGGTGACTATAGCGTCTCTTTAATCTGTATACTATACAATAAGCTGTTACATTAAGCTGTAGTTGTTCTGGTGACTATAGTGTCCTAATAAATCTATATGTCACAGCGAATGATAAATTAGTGTATCCCATAATTGGAAATGTTTATGGGCAGTGTGTGCCTCAACCTTTAATATATGTATGGAGGTTACCAGTCAGCGATCACGCAGTGTTTTGCGGTAGGTAATAACCTGACCCAGTATCCCCTCACTGTATGAGCAGCTGACCTGGCGCTGAGTGTGTGTTACTGCAATGCTCAATACATATATCATCATATCTCTCCCTGTAGGTGGGTGCACTGCAGGAACAGCTGCTGGGATTGCAGGCAGAGGCAGCGTCCCTGCGAGGGAGGTACAGTTGCTGTCAGCGGGAGGCGCTGGAACTGCAGGAACATGTTTTGGAGCAGGAGCACAGAATTGTAGAGCTTCAAAAGCAGAACCGTGACACTGTGGAGAATCTTCACCGAGCCCGTGAACAGGCAAGCTCCGGGGGCCACTCACTGCACCCAGAAGGCAATAATTAATATCTCCTTCTGACTGTCCATTTACTTCTATAGTTGCGAAATCAGGAGCAGTCTGTGCGCGAACTTCGTGAAGAAAGATCGAGACTCCAAGAGCACAGTCAACGCCTCGAACAGGAGACTGGCGCGCTTCATGCTGAGCTGGAAACGCAAAGCTTAACACTAAGCGAGCACAGCAGCGTAACGGCCAGTAAGGTGAGGGCTTGTATACCATCATTACATTAGGGAGATAAATAGCTCTCCGGCTATTTAACGATAGTCATAGAAGCACATTGGGAAGAAACAATTAATATAAGTGCTTGTTCCAATGCTGTGCGGGTAGACGTGAATAGTTTAATGTGTGAAAAACAATTTTTCTTCTATTCTTGATCAGTTCACAAGTATAGCGTGTCTGCGTCCAGATATCGCTGATTAAACCTCACATTTAATTTATTTTAATGACTCGTTACTTCAGTATGATTCATATTTTGGCTTTTCATGTTGAAATCTATAAAAGAAAGATTTGTAAATCAAGTGATCACAATATTCTAACTCTGAAATCTGATGCATATCGATGTACAAAACATTTTTACCAATGATTTGTGACACAGTTAAAGTGCTCCTATCTGCAGTTATCATTGTAACTATAAATGACTGGCATCTGCCAATTTAATGTTTTACTTTCATTCTAATCTAAAATACAAATAAGGGTTTGGAATGGTTGCGCATGGATCAGTTTGTTTCCATGGTTGAATGTGGTCTACAATCACTGGGTAGAAAGCCACACTGGATATCTGCTCAGCCCATATATATCCATATGTTTCACTAACGCAAAATACAGATAAAATGTTAGGACAAACGGTCTAAAGCTGAGCTTGTCATCTTTGCATATGGAGGTTACCGTGTCATCGTACGCTGCTGGTTCTATTTTTCAGCTAAACCGCAAGGAACAGGAAGTTGATCGTTTGCGTCGAGATATTCAGGCTATGCGCAGGCACACACAGCACGCAGAGGAGAAGGTACCACCACTGGGCTTGTGACTGCTTATGTTAATGAATAGTGGAAGATGTACATTCCATTTTAAGCAAATTCGTGTGTCTGTCATTAACAGAATGGGGGACTGTGTGCTGCTTTGCTCTGATGTTTATTTTAAAATGGGCAAACTGGGTGCAGGCAATGGTGATCGTGGCAACTTTAACAATTAATGCTTATCTCTACAGCATGCTCCTATAATAGAGGTATGGGTGGGGGTGGAGCCAGGCCAGCAGATTGGATGTTTATAGGTTACTTCTGCTGGTCTTCAAGTGGTCAGCCACAGGGTCAGGGAGTATTACTTGAAGCTCTTATTGCTCCCCCTCTCGCCCCCCCCACACACAGTGCGACTCAGTAGGTTAATTCTAGCTGTTTGTTGGCATGAACCAGTCTGAATGTGACCTAATGTAGCGTCATCCCATTATAGGCTGTGCAGCAGGAGGCCACATCAAGCAATCTCCAGGAGAAGCTCTCATTGTGTCACATTGAGAAGACCTCTCTGTCTGACACTATAAAAAGGCTGGAAAGAGAGCTGTGTGATGTAAACACTAACAGAAAAGATCTGGAACAAGAGGTATGCTATGGGAGAGTAAACGGGTATTAGTTGGGTAGGCGGCCTCTGAGGGATAAAGTTGTACATCGATATGGATCTCCATCCAGAGAGGTCTTTTAGTCACTCAGCTGCCACCTCACACCTGCCTTACTATAATCTCACCAGATAAAGCTGCAGAGTGAGACTATGGAGAAGCTGCAAGCTCAGCTATCGATCTGCGAGACGGAGCGGGATACGGCCTGTGAAAAGAGCGTGGAGCTCCACAGTGACAGAGACATCCTGCAGAGCAAGGTCCACCAGCTTCAACGAGAGGTAGCACCTTCTAACAGCATCAGTGATCACTACCTGATATGTTATACTGGACGTGTCCTTCACTCTCTGCTATACTGTCCCACTCACACAATCTGTGTGCGTCACTCGTGGTGTAATTTAACACCCTGTGCCAGTCCAGATGTGTTTTGGGGGGATCTGTGCAATGTTAATTCATTGTCCCCCAGCTGTCATTAAGTCTATTCTATCTGTCACACCCTGCAGATCTCAAATGTGGAACAGAGTATGAGCACCGCCCTGCAGGAAGTAGAGATCCTGAGACTGGAGGTCACTAGGAAAGACGCAGAGCTCCTTGCTGTGAGAGAAGAGCTTCACATCTGCCAGGATACTCTGCAGAGTGCTCTAAAGGAGAAATCGGAGACAATACAGGAGGCAGAAGAACAGGTACTGGCTGGCTGTTAGCGTTCGTACTACTTCTGGTAAAATGGGAATTCACCTAGTTTCAGGAAGCTTGTGTTTTTTCCCTCAGGTGCAGCAGAAGGAGAAATTGCTTTCATCCCTGCAGGAGGAGGTAACGGCATTAAGAGAGCAGCGGGAAAGCTTCCGATCCCAGGTAGGTAGAACGAAGAATGTTTTACACTAGGTCTAAGGTGTGTACAGGGTAGAATGGGGCCTTACCATTAAACATTCACTGCCTGGGTAGATTGCTGGCACATGGTGTCTGAGTCCCTGAATCCATCTCCTTTACAGCTGGTGCAGAGCCGTGAGTTGGTGGAGCAGCAGAAGCAGCAGATAGCAGACTTGACAGAAGAGCTGACTGTCAGAGCACAGACGGTGTCTCAGCTCAATTCAGCAAAGGATAAACTAGAGCTGGAATTTAGCATCCTGACCGAGAAACACAAAGCGGCTCAGAAAGAGGTAACTCCAGTCACTGGTTCTGGGCAGTCAGGGAATGTGTCCTCTATTCCTGTAGCCTCACACGCTATTCCAACCCCAATCTCCAGCTGAATCCCCTTACATATATCATGGTTGATTCTGTTTCACCTTATATCCATACTTCTTCCATGTTTATATTTCTCATCAGGTTTCTAGCAGAGACCAGACGATTGTCAGCCTTCGAACTGACCTCACTACTAGAGAGCAAGAGCTGCAGGAAGTACAAAGAGAGGTTAGCTTATCTTGTACACCACGAGGTCCATGTTGTGTTTGTATTTAGTGTTAATGATTGGGATGTGATTGACATTCTTGAGATATGAAGGTTACAATGTTAGACATATAGGAGTTATCATCTAATAAGACGATCATGTGTTTGCAGCTCACTGAGCGTTCTGAGGAATTGAGTTCCCTTCGCTTAAAGCTGAAGAACCTGCAGAGTGATGTTCAGAGCCTTCAGGAAATCTGCACTGAGCATGAAACTACAGCCACGGACAAGGAAAAACTAATATATGGGCTGCAACAGGAGAAAGAGGAAAATCTGTCAGAGGTGAGCGGGATTCTGGGAATTGGAAGTAAGAGGTGAGAGGGATCCTGGAAATTGGAAGTACGAGGTGAGAGGGATTCTGGGAATGGAAGTAAGACGTAAGAGGTGAGAGGGATCCTGGGAATTGGAAGTACGAGGTGAGAGGGATTCTGGGAATGGAAGTACGAAGTGAGAGGGATCCTGGGAATTGGAAGTGAGAGGGATCCTGGGAATTGGAAGTGAGAGGGATCCTTGGGAATTGGAAGTGAGAGGGATCCTGGGAATTGGAAGTGAGAGGGATCCTGGGAATTGGAAGTGAGAGGGATCCTGGGAATTGGAAGTATGAGGTGAGAGGGATTCTGGGAATGGAAGTACAAGGTGAGAGGGATTCTGGGAATGGAAGTACGAAGTGAGAGGGATTCTGGGAATGGAAGTACGAGGTGAGAGGGATTCTGGGAATAGAAGTACGAGGTGAGAGGGATTCTGGGAATAGAAGTACGAGGTGAGAGGGATTCTGGGAATGGAAGTACGAGGTGAGAGGGATTCTGGGAATGGAAGTACGAGGTGAGAGGGATTCTGGGAATGGAAGTACGAGGTGAGAGGGATCCTGGGAATTGGAAGTGAGAGGGATACTGGGAATTGGAAGTGAGAGGGATCTGGGAATTGGAAGTGAGAGGGATCCTGGGAATTGGAAGTGAGCGGGATCCTGGGAATTGGAAGTGAGCGGGATCCTGGGAATTGGAAGTGAGCGGGATCCTGGGGATTGGAAGTAAGAGGAGAGAGGGATTCTGGGAATTGGAGGAGAGAGGGATTCTGGGAATTGGAGGAGAGAGGGATTCTGGGAATTGGAGGAGAGAGGGATTCTGGGAATTGGAGGTGAGAGGGATTCTGAGAATTGGAAGTGAGAGGAGAGAGGGATTCGGGGAATTGGAAGTGAGAGGAGAGAGGGATTCGGGGAATTGGAAGTGAGAGGGATTCTGGGAATGGAAGTTAGAGGTGAGAGGGATCCTGGGAATTGGAAGTAAGAGGAGAGAGAGATTCTGGGAATTGGAAGTAAAAGGAGAGAGGGATTCTGGGAATTGGAAGTAAAAGGAGAGAGGGATTCTGGGAATGGAAGTAAGAGGAGAGAGGGATCCTGGGAATGGAAGTAAGAGGAGAGAGGGATCCTGGGAATGGAAGTAAGAGGAGAGAGGGATCCTGGGAATGGAAGTAAGAGGAGAGAGGGATCCTGGGAATGGAAGTAAGAGGAGAGAGGGATCCTGGGAATGGAAGTAAGAGGAGAGAGGGATCCTGGGAATGGAAGTAAGAGGAGAGAGGGATTCTGGGAATTGGAAGTAAGAGGAGAGAGGGATTCGGGGAATTGGAAGTGAGAGGGATTCTGGGAATGGAAGTTAGAGGTGAGAGGGATCCTGGGAATTGGAAGTAAGAGGAGAGAGAGATTCTGGGAATTGGAAGTAAAAGGGGAGAGGGATTCTGGGAATTGGAAGTAAGAGGAGAGAGGGATTCTGGGAATTGGAAGTAAAAGGAGAGAGGGATTCTGAGAATGGAAGTAAGAGGAGAGAGGGATCCTGAGAATGGAAGTAAGAGGAGAGAGGGATCCTGAGAATGGAAGTAAGAGGAGAGAGGGATCCTGGGAATGGAAGTAAGAGGAGAGAGGGATCCTGGGAATGGAAGTAAGAGGAGAGAGGGATCCTGGGAATGGAAGTAAGAGGAGAGAGGGATTCTGGGAATGGAAGTAAGAGGAGAAAGGGATTCTGGGAATTGGAAGTAAGTGGTGAGAGGGATTCTGGGAATGGAGGTGAGAGGGATTCTGGAATGGAAGTAAGAGGAGAGAGGGATCCTGGGAATTAAAATGAAAGGGTACAATTTAGTACAGTTTCTAAAATCTAACCCTTTGATTGACAGATGCATCGGTTAAAACAAGAGATTGCATGCATGCGGCAGACGCAGCAGGCTGACACGGATCGCATGAGAAACGAATCGGAGAGGCTGCAGGACAAGTTGGAGTCTGTAACCAGGAGGCAGGAGGAGCAGGAGCTTGAGCTGCGGCACTCCAGGCTGAGGGCAGAGAGGATATCCCAGGACCTGAGTCTGGCACAGCAGCTGCAGCTACAGCTGGAGGAACAGGTGACCACACTGTCCCGGGACTCTGAACACAGACACAGTGTCTCGTTCAGTTTACTCCAGTCTTATGTGATATGTTTGGCTTTGTACCAAGCTTTCTTTCTGTCAATCTCCGACCTTGCTGCGTTGGTCCACAGAAGGTCTCACTCGGCCTGTTAAAAAACTGTGAAACTACATGACACTGGCCTTGGCTTTAACATTATTTTGTATTCTTGTTCTGACCTGCACCTACCACCTGGAATGCTGTGTTTATGCTTCTTGTTTGCGGCACTGGTTTTGTTTTGCGGTCTTTGTCCTGGATATGACATTGGGTATTGCCCTGTGTTTTTGCATCTGTACCTCTACTTGCACATGTGAAGTTTGTTTTTATAATTTCTGTCCCAGGTATCTCAGCGGGATGTGGAGCTCCGTCAGCGTAGTGAAGAGGTTCAGCAGCTGCAGACGTGTTTGTGGGAGTCGGAGGAGAAGGCTGTGAGTGCGGAAAGTCAGAGTAGCGCCACACACAGCAGTATGGAGTTGTATCGCAGTAAATACCAGGCATGTGTGAGCCGAGTTGGGGAACTGGAGGAGAACCTGAGACAGCTGGAAGATGAAACCCGTGAGATGAAGCGCGAGGTGTGTACATTATTTACTATAGTGATAACTGCTATCCTGTTATAGCACGCCTGTCACCTAAAATGTTAGACATCAATTTAAAACCATGCTACCAACAGAGAAATAATATTGACATCTAGCCAAGCGATATTAACTTATACTGGAATTACCAGTACTCACCTGGCCATCCATGAATTGCATCAGATTTTTCAAACACACATTTACAAATTAAGACATGACAGAATGTGATGACAGCATCCGATCAGAACCTGACATTCAAATAGATGCACTGTTTTACTTCCAGAATTTCACTGCTCAGTGCAGACGAGAAGGTTGGCCAGTCAGAAGATTTAATCATTCAGTCAGCACAAGGCAGTTTCTATAATACTGCATGACTTTGTCAGCTCCCAGCCTGCGATATGCAACTGTCTGTAGCAGAGGCATAACTAGAAACCACGAGGCCCCGGTGAAAACTGCCCCGTACACATCTAACCCCTCCCCAACCCCACCCCCCAATACGTCTACCGTCCCCCTCCCATATGTTCCTCCCTCCCCTGCACATGCAAACAGATACACATGCAGGCACACACATAGACACTCACATACATACATACATACATACATACATACAGACACACACACATACCTTTCCCTGGGGTCCAGTGGCTCAGCCTGATGGGAGTCAGAGTTCCCACTCTGACTCCCTCCTCCCACACAGCTCCCGGTGGTTGCTGGGAGGAAGTGACCGGGGCAGTCCCTTCCTCCCAGCGTCTGACATCATCAAAAGGGGCCCGGTCGCCCTATTAAAGCGCTGACCGGGCCCCCTGGAATTACATAGCATCAAGTGGCTTACTTAGTCGGCTGGCCCCGCGGGACCCTCGGTCGCAGGGGTCCGCAGGGCAGCCGGACCCCCTGGAGTGACGAGCCTAGTCGCAGCTGTAACCCCTGCGACCACGGTAGTTCCGCCACTGGTCTGTAGGGAAAGAGCTCAGTGTCCTAGCATTCGCTAAGTATTCACAGAACTGGAACGTTGAATGCTGTAGGTGTAAACACCTAAGGCTATCTCAACACTCATTTACAGATATTCCCAAGGGAAGGCACACTTTCTATACTTCCCATATATCCACAGGTGTCTGACCGAGACTGTCGGCTGTCTGCACTGCGAGGCGAACTGCTTGTGTTACAGCAGGAGCTGGAGAGTAAATGTATGGAACTAGAAAGCTCTGAGGAAGCCATTGACCAACTCACACAAGAACTTCAGGCAACACAGAGCGACTTGATGGCCAGCCGTGAGCAATCCAAAGAGAGCGAGGAGATACTTCAGTCTGTCCGGGAGCATGCGGCGAGACTCCAAAACCAGGTCAGACCCTATGGCAGCTCGGTCATACTCATACACACGGCAGCTTTACACCCTCAGTGTGTCCGTGAAATGCGTTCTGTATAGAGGGAAAATAGCAGGTCTGCACAGGGCCCCTGTTCTATCTGTTTCACTTTGCAGCTGATTACTCAAGCAGACTCTGGATTCCTCTAGTTGTGTTTAAAATTAAAATGTTATTTATATTCCTTCCACAACCGGTTCTCTGTGTGACAGGTGGTGGAGTTGGAAGAAGATCTGGTAAAACTACAGACAGACTTTGCTTCCTACAAAGCAACCCACAGATACAGTGATGGCAGCTACGGGGAGCTGGAGAGGCATGCGGTGCAGCTTACACGGGTCAGTGTAGGACTCCCCCATGTTGGGCTGATACTGTGTATTATTGATCTTGTTAATCACTCTGAGGTTCTTTGCTTTATAAATGGTTGCTGTCTGTGTGGACAGGAACTAGGCCGTGCTGAAAAGGAGATTCAGAGACAGATGAAGGAAACTGAGCGAAGCCAAATACATCTGCGAGAGCTAAACCTGGATCTAACGAAGGAAAGAGAGCAGAGAAACAGCACATCAAAAGGTATGAAGAGAGATTTACTGACATGATCATGGCTGTCTGGGTGAATTCTCTAACGTCTGTCTATCCGTCCATAAATACAGATGTGGAGCGACTGGAGCAGGAAGTGTGCAATCTACGGAGAGAGACATCTTTACAAGTGCAAGACTATAAACTACAGATTTCTGAGCAACAGCAGCACATCCAAAAACTGAAGGAGGAGCTGAGAGACAACAGCAAACTGACAGCCCACCGAGAACAGGTAACAGCGATACACTCAGGGTGTGACCTCACAGCGAACCCAGAGCAGGTAACGGCGATACACTGAGGGTGTGACCTCACAGCGAACCCAGAGCAGGTAACGGCGATACACTCAGGGTGTGACCTCACAGCGAACCCAGAGCAGGTAACGGCGATACACTCAGGGTGTTACCTCACAGCGAACCCAGAGCCGGTAACGGCGATACACTCAGGGTGTGACCTCACAGCGAACCCAGAGCTGTTAACGGTGATACACTCAGGGTGTGACCTCACAGCAAACCCAGAGCAGGTAACGGCGATACACTCAGGGTGTGACCTCACAGCGAACCCAGAGCAGGTAACGGCGATACACTCAGGGTGTGACCTCACAGCGAACCCAGAGCAGGTAACAGCGATACATCAGGGTGTGACCTCACTGCCCACCGAGAGCAGGTAACAGCAATACACTCAGGGTGTGACCTCACTGCCCACCGAGAGCAGGTAACAGCAATACACTCAGGGTGTGACCTCACTGCCCACCGAGAGCAGGTAACAGCAATACACTCAGGGTGTGACCTCACTGCCCACAGAGAGCAGGTAACGGCGATACACTCAGGGTGTGACCTCACAGCAAACCCAGAGCAGGTAACGGCGATACACTCAGGGTGTGACCCCACTGCCCACAGAGAGCAGGTAACAGCGATACACTCAGGGTGTGACCTCACACCTCCGAGAGCCGGTAACGGCGATACACTCAGGGTGTGACCTCACAGCGAACCCAGAGCAGGTAACGGCGATACACTCAGGGTGTGACACTGCCCACAGAGAGCAGGTAACAGCGATACACTCAGGGTGTGACCTCACAGCGAACCCAGAGCAGGTAACGGCGATACACTCAGGGTGTGACCCCACTGCCCACAGAGAGCAGGTAACAGCGATACACTCGGGGTGTGACCTCACAACCTCCGAGAGCCGGTAACGGCGATACACTCAGGGTGTGACCTCACAGCGAACGTAGAGCGTTTAACAGTGATACACTAAGAATATGTTATCTTGCTGCCCATATCGAGGGATTGATGCAATGTTTGCAAGTGCTTGTGTTGCCATGTTTATTTGGATATGTAGTGATTTGTGCTGTTGGGTTGTGCATGAAGTGCTGCTTTGTGGCATGTAGGATTCATATGCCGCAGAACAGAAACCATGCTATTTATTTAGGAATCTAAATTAATAGAAGGATCTCCCTGCAGTACAGGAGTTCTTCATATTAGAATAAAGCTTAAGCTAACTCATGTACGGACTATTTACCAGAGATTTGTGTGCAGGGAATTGGATTGCATGTTTTGCTATAGCCAGCAGACCCACCACCTATGTTTGGTTGTATTGCAACTGTAGGCAATCCAAAAGCGCGATGTTCTGCTGCGTCAGTCAGAAGCCGACCTTCTCCAGGCACGGAGCTCACTAAAATCGCTGAATCAAGAGATAGAGCGCCACCTGGAGGCTGCCAGTGCTCTAGAGAGGAGACTGCAGCAAACTCAGAAGGAGCGTGAGCAGAAAGAGAGAGAAAATACTGCCCTAAGAACGGAATTACAGGAACTGAAGAAGGAGCTGCAGGAGACCTATGCACTCCATCAACAAGCAGGTAGCTCTCAGTGGCCAACTAGCCAAGGATACAGGGGCTGTGTATCAATACAAATAAGTGGGAGGATGACGTTAAGTAGATACAAGATAATAGTTTGTTTGCTTACAGCACAGGCGCTGGCAGGCCAGGAGGAGAAGACTCTCTTAATAGAGAGCGCTCTGCAGAGCACACAGGAGCAGCTGAGTGAGCGAGTGGCAGAGGTTGTAAGACAGGAACAGCTGGCGCGCAAAGTGGAAAGTGAAATGCGCACTTTGAGAGAACGAGCAAACAACAGCGATGAAGAACTGGAACAATGCAGGTACTGAGCCTGAACTTCTAGCTCTCTATAATATCTCTCCTGTAATATCCTCCCTGCGAGCAGGACACTAACTGCCGTCTCTCCCGTAATATCCTCCCTGCAAGCGGGACGCTAACTGCCGTCTCTCCCGTAATATCCTCCCTGCGAGCGGGACGCTAACTGACATCTCTCCCGTAATATCCTCCCTGGGAGCGGGACGCTAACTGACATCTCTCTCGTAATATCCTCCCTGCGAGCGGGACGCTAACTGACATCTCTCCCATAATATCTCCCTGCGAGCGGGACGCTAACTGCCATTTCTCCTGTTTTATCCTCCCTGCAAGCGGGACGCTGCCATCTCTCCCGTAATATCCTCCCTGTGAGCGGAACACTAACTGCCGTCTCTCCCGTAATATCCTCCCTGCGAGCGGGACGCTAACTGACATCTTTTCCATAATATCCTCCCTGTGAGCGGGACGCTAACTGCCATTTCTCCTGTTTTATCCTCCCTGCAAGCGGGACGCTAACTGCCATCTCTCCTGTAATATCCTCCCTGTGAGCGGAACGCTAACTGCCGTCTCTCCCGTAATAGCCTCCCTGCGAGCGGGACGGTAACTGACATCTCTCCCGTAATATCCTCCCTGCGAGCGGGACGGTAACTGACATCTCTCCCATAATATCCTCCCTGCGAGCGGGACGCTAACTGCCATTTCTCCTGTTTTATCCTCCCTGCAAGCGGGACGCTAACTGCCATTTCTCCTGTTTTATCCTCCCTGCAAGCGGGACGCTAACTGCCATCTCTCCTGTAATATCCTCCCTGTGAGCGGAACGCTAACTGCCGTTTCTCCCGTAATACCCTCCCTGCGAGCGGGACGGTAACTGACATCTCTCCCATAATATCCTCCCTGCGAGCGGGACGCTAACTGCCATTTCTCCTGTTTTATCCTCCCTGCAAGCGGGACGCTAACTGCCATCTCTCCTGTAATATCCTCCCTGCAAGCGGGGCGCTAACTGCCATCTCTCCCGTAATATCCTCCCTGTGAGCGGAACGCTAACTGCCGTCTCTCCCGTAATACCCTCCCTGCGAGCGGGACGGTAACTGACATCTCTCCCATAATATCCTCCCTGCGAGCGGGACGCTAACTGCCATTTCTCCTGTTTTATCCTCCCTGCAAGCGGGACACTGCCATCTCTCCCGTAATATCCTCCCTGTGAGCGGAACACTAACTGCCGTCTCTCCCGTAATATCCTCCCTGCGAGCGGGACGCTAACTGACATCTTTTCCATAATATCCTCCCTGCGAGCGGGACGCTAACTGCCATTTCTCCTCTTTTATCCTCCCTGCAAGCGGGACGCTAACTGCCATCTCTCCTGTAATATCCTCCCTGTGAGCGGAACGCTAACTGCCGTCTCTCCCGTAATACCCTCCCTGCGAGCGGGACGGTAACTGACATCTCTCCCATAATATCCTCCCTGCGAGCGGGACGCTAACTGCCATTTCTCCTGTTTTATCCTCCCTGCAAGCGGGACGCTAACTGCCATCTCTCCCGTAATATCCTCCCTGTGAGCGGAACGCTAACTGCCATTTCTCCTGTTTTATCCTTCCTGCAAGCGGGACGCTAACTGCCATCTCTCCTGTAATATCCTCCCTGCGAGCAGGACACTAACTGACATCTCTCCCGTAATATGCTCCCTGCGAGCGATACACTAACTGCCATCTCTCCCGTTACATCCTCCCTTTCAGGGTACTAAGCATTCTATGTCCTGTATTATATCTCTGCACTTTTATCTTTGGGAGCAGGGCATTGATCGAACGCCTGAAGTCAGAGCTTAATGAAGTGAAGAAGAGATACAATGTGTCCACACAGGAGGCTATAAAGCTGCAGCACTCTGTCAGCAAACTGCAGCTGGGGCAGGCAAACGAGCAGGAGAAATACAAGGTTCTGCAGCAGCAGGTAAGTGGCCACACAGAGCACCTGGGAAATGGGAGAATGGCGAGGGTGACTGGGGCTGGCCACAGCACACTGCACATCAAGATAACTCTACTAACCATTAGTTGCAGGAACAAAGTACAGTCCAACAGAACCTCCGGACTGAGCTGGAAGAGCAGCAGAACCAACATGAGGAGCTGCAGAGACAGCAGCACAGGAGTAAGGAACAAGAGAGCTCACTGCAGAGACAGACAGAAGAACTGAGCCTGAGAGTGCAGCACTCTGAGCGACTGGTGAGTACTGATTGCAGAGTGCAGCACTCTGAGCGACTGTTGAGTGCTGAGTGCTGATTGCAGAGTGCAGCACTCTGAGCGACTGAGTGCCGATTGCAGAGTGCAGCACTCTGAGCGACTGAGTGCCGATTGCAGAGTGCAGCACTCTGAGCGACTGAGTGCCGATTGCAGAGTGCAGCACTCTGAGCGACTGAGTGCCGATTGCAGCACTCTGAGCGACTGAGTGCCGATTGCAGCACTCTGAGCGACTGAGTGCTGATTGCAGCACTCTGAGCGACTGAGTGCTGATTGCAGCACTCTGAGCGACTGTTGAGTGCCGATTGCAGAGTGCAGCACTCTGAGCGACTGTTGAGTGCCGATTGCAGAGTGCAGCACTCTGAGCGACTGTTGAGTGCCGATTGCAGAGTGCAGCACTCTGAGCGACTGTTGAGTGCCGATTGCAGAGTGCAGCACTCTGAGCGACTGTGAGTGCCGATTGCAGAGTGCAGCACTCTGAGCGACTGGTGAGTGCCGATTGCAGAGTGCAGCACTCTGAGCGACTGGTGAGTGCCGATTGCAGAGTGCAGCACTCTGAGCGACTGTTGAGTGCCGATTGCAGAGTGCAGCACTCTGAGCGACTGTTGAGTGCCGATTGCAGAGTGCAGCACTCTGAGCGACTGTTGAGTGCCGATTGCAGAGTGCAGCACTCTGAGCGACTGCCGAGCAGAGTGCAGCACTCTGAGCGACTGGTGAGTGCCGACAGAGTGCAGCACTCTGAGCGACTGGTGAGTGCCGATTGCAGAGTGCAGCACTCTGAGCGACTGGTGAGTGCCGATTGCAGAGTGCAGCACTCTGAGCGACTGTTGAGTGCCGATTGCAGAGTGCAGCACTCTGAGCGACTGTTGAGTGCCGATTGCAGAGTGCAGCACTCTGAGCGACTGGTGAGTGCTGATTGCAGAGTGCAGCACTTTGAGCGACTGGTGAGTAGTGCAGTCCGGTTGTAGCCTGGCTAGTCTGAGCTAACCCTGTAAACTCCATCAGATGGCAGAGCGAGATCGGATGCTGCAGCATCTGCAGAGCAGCTTCTCCCAACTGGAGAGAAAGTGTCAAAGTGCTCAGGAAGAAGCCCGGGAGAGTGCAGCCCAACTGGAGCTCACCAAGAGTGCATTAGTTCAAGCTCAGAGGAAAATTCAAGCTCAGGCGCAAGAGGTTAGTCTAATGGCCCCACACACAGACACATCGATTCTGCTTTATTGTCTGCATAGCACTCAGCGCTCCTCTCTTCCCAGCTCAGTAACCTGGAGCAATCCTTGCTGCGTGTGCACTCGTCGGAGGAGGTGGCGCAGAAGGTTGCACGTGGTCGCAGCCAGGACTTAAACGCAGCCCAAGAAAGTGTGCAGGAGCTCAGGAGTCAGGTGACAGCAGCACAGGCCGGCCAGAGAGAATCCATGGAACAGGTAATAACATACTCTGGGAGAGGGGGCCACACTGCTAGCCTAATATCCTTCCAGCAATCTGAGCACATAGTAGATTCTATTCTGTGTTCTGTCGCAAGTATAAACACTCCTATCTCGGCTAATTAGTGGTTCAAACTGTTGTCTCACTTCTATCCCCATTGTAAATGGAATGGCTCAAATCTTTTACATATTTACAGGTTTTTAAAGGAACACTATAGGGTCAGGAACACAAACATTTATTCCTGACCCTATAGTGTTAAAACCACCATCTAGCCCCCCTGGGTCCCTCATGCTTCCCTAAATATAGCAAAATCTTACTTGTATTTAAGCCTGAAGCTGTAAATCTGCATGCTGTTTGCCTCAGAATAGCAAGCTGTCTGTTGACATCATCAGAAGTGGTGGCCTGATCCAATCACAATACTTCCCCATAGCATTGGCTGAGACTGACAACGAGGCAGATTAGGGGCAGAGCCAGCATGATTCAAATACAGCCCTGGCCAATCAGCATCTCCTCATAGAGATGAATTGAATCACTGAATCTCTATGAGGAACGTTCAGTGTCTGCATGCAGAGGGAGGAGATACTGAATGTTTGGATGCATTTTAGGCAGCCATGACCCAGGAAGGATCTCTAACAGCCATCTGAGGAGTGGCCAGTGAAGATATCACTAGGCTGTAATGTAAACACTGTATTTTCTCTGAAAAGACAGTGTGTACAACAAAAAGCCTGAAGGTAATGATTCTACTCATTAAAGCAAATTCAATAAGCTGCAGTTGTTCTGGTGACTATAGTGTCCCTTTAACTAAAGGGCCAAATCAAGGTGAATTTCATTTTTAAGGTAAGAGTAGTTCTAATGGAAACACTCTGTAAGTTACTGATGCTTCCAGATCGGCTCCTTTGGCCTCTCATTTTAAATTCACTTCACATGAATAACCCGGTTAAAGTGAACCTGTCCTAACTCACCTGTCCAGCCATCTGTTACTCCGTTCCTATAATCCTCAGCCAGCCCTACAAGCATCAGACAGGAAGTTACAGCCTGTGGGAGGTCACTCTGCTCTCTTTTCAGTCAATTCTTTAGTACAGAGTCTAAGCCGAAGAACCGATACGAGAGACCAATTCTTCAACTTATAGAAAGCACCATGTACAGATAGAATTTTACTTAGAACATAAGTTGTACCTGGCATGACTGGTATCCTTTAAAATCTTCCCTTACCTGCTTTATTGCACTGCCTTGTTCCTGGACAAAATAAATAAAGTGTATTCGTCTGATTGTTCGGTAGAATCATTCGAATAAACTAAGGGAATGAAACTACCGAACAATCAGACCTCCCCTGTGTGAAGTGTGCCTCCAATTACCCCTTGCGAACGGGTAATTAACAAGCTATGCAGTAGGTCCTTTGTCTCGGGGTGGCCGCCATTCGGGAAACGAACACGTGGTGGCGGCCATTTTAAAACTCCCGAACAGCGGTGTTTTGCCGTCGAGTGTCTGGAACCCAAATCGGACACTCGACTAGGCGAACACCGCTGAGACCTCCACAAGCCCGGTCCGTTCGGTTCCAAACTACCGAACGGCCCCTCGTTCGGTAGACAGAAACAACCGAACGAGGGGATTCATGTGAACCCTACCTGGTCTCTGTAGCCTTAGCCGTTCGTGTAAATTATTCCCTTGTACTGGGACCGACCGCAGGGCCCCATCGCATGGAACCCAATTCGGCTGTTCTATCCAGCGCGGTTGGTCTTTTTAGTACCTCCATAAATTTCCAGAACCCCTGGTCTGATCTGGGTGATTTTTGGATATGTTGCTCACCCAGATCAGGGCTACCAGGAGATGTGCCAGTTAAAGGGGTACCCCTAGGTTTAGGGGTACATCCAGAAACTGGGGGAATTTGGGTACAGTATAAGGGGATTATGATGCAGGCTGAGGGGAGGAGATGTGTAGGAGGTTACTATTGTTGGATTGGGCACTGTACTAATTGATGGAAATCCCTCCCTTGCATGGGAGCATGCTATATAAGGCCACTGTGGAATAAAGGTTGTCAGTTCTGCTCCTGATGCTGTGTGTCGTCCAGTCATTGGGATTGCTGTGGGGATACTATTGGATTATTTTGCCTGTTGGAAACCTTGCCTGTGGATTTATAATTTACTTGATCCTGAGCCTCACTGGGATCATAAGCGGAGATAACCTGGGGAATATTGTATCTCCGCTACACTGTCACTACCTCAGTCGAACCACTCAAACTCCAATTAGTACTCTGAGTAGATAAATCCCAGATAACCAGGCCAATCCCAGTGCTTGCCTCATTTCCTTGTGTTTCCTAGCCAATGTCACTCATACTGTTACACTATATGACACCTAGATTTCTCCGTGGGGAGACAAGACTCTGTTTCGAAATGTACATTTGTTGGAGGCGGATATGAACCGCTGTTTTTGGACTGTGCTTGCATTCCAAACATTTTTTAAAGAAATGATTCAAGACTTGCTTAAAATGAACTGGCTATTCACTTTTACCAATAAAGAGATGATTGCTAAAAAAGATTCTAACATGGAAATCTTATACTCTCATGTTGGCGATATATTTTCAACAAGAAATTAAATCCACTCTGTAAATGCAGGTAAAATTCCCTGGCAAATTCATTATTGAATCTGTAACTTTCCTCCCCAAATACATCAACTCACACGTCCTAATTGTCTTGTTTTATTCTTCTATGATTTTTATGATCTACCTGCAAGACCAGCTTGGTTCAGTTTAGATTAATACTGAAAATATAGAATGTCACGCACCACGATGCTCGGTTTCACTTTTAATACTGTAGCCATTTTGAAATCAGCCGCACTGCGCGTCTCCTACCTCATTCTTGTAATACAAAAGAAATTTCACAAAAATGTACTGCCAAAGTCTGGTTTTAAGTGTTACATTCGCCATTTCTTGTTACATTTGGCATTTCTAGATTTGTGTATAGGCAGAAATGTTTCCTTTAGAAACTAAAATCTAGAGTGTTTGTTCATTTAGCTCGGAGTAATGGGAAGAACTGACAAGTGAATATCAACACTGCAAACGTTAGGTCATAAAAGATTAATTGGAAAAATAACTTGATTTTGTTCTCCTATTTATAGATAACTTGTCATTTCTCCACAATTTCCAGTGTAGTCCTTAACACATAACGTTTTCTTGTCTGCTCTATTTACTAATCTGCAGTTGGCTGAACGGAGCCGGGAGCTAGCTGCTCTGCGCAGTGAATTGCAGCGCTGCCAACAAAGGAAGAACGAGCTGGAGCGAGAGTGCACTGCTCAGGAGGAACGAACGCGTAGATTGAACAAAGATATGGTTGTTTTACGGGACATGCAGAGACAGAAAGAACAGGAGGTAACAGGACGAGGGGAAAAAGAGAAGCGGTTACAGTCTTACACATTCAGTGTTAATTATTAAGTAGCTACAGCCACGTTTCTTTTTTCCCACTGCAGGAGGAAGCTTGTGAAGGGCGTTTAAGAGAATTAAACAGTCAGCTGCAGCACTGGCAGCGGCTGCACCAAGAGCGTGCACAGGAGCTGGGGCAGAGGGAAGAAGAGCTGAAACAGCTCCAAGAGCAACTGTCAGTTCTGATGGAGAAACGAAAGAACGAGTGCAGAGAGGTAGCAACCCAACACATTATGTATCCTACTGTCACTGCCATATACCCACACCATGCATCTCAAACTACTACCGTAGCCATATACCCACACCATGCAGCTCAAACTACTACCATAGCCATATACCCACACCATGCAGCTCAAACTACTACCATAGCCATATACCCACACCATGTGGCCCAAACTACTACGGTAGCCATATACCCACACCATGCATCTCAAACTACTACCGTAGCCATATACCCACACCATGCATCTCAAACTACTACCGTAGCTATATACCCACACCATGCAGCTCAAACTACTACCGTAGCCATATACCCGCACTGTGAGCCTAAACTACTACCATAGCCATATACCCACACCATTCAGCTCAAACTACTACCGTAGCCATATACCCACACCATGCATCTCAAACTACTACCGTAGCCATATACACACACCATGCGGCCCAAACTACTTCTATAGCCACATAGCTATATACCCACACCATGTGGCCCAAACTACTACCATAGCCATATACCCACACCATGCAGCTCAAACTACTACCGTAGCCATATACCCACACCATGCATCTCAAACTACTACCGTAGCCATATACCCACACCATGCATCTCAAACTACTACCGTAGCCATATACCCACACCATGCATCTCAAACTACTACCGTAGCCATATACACACACCATGCGGCCCAAACTACTTCTATAGCCACATAGCTATATACCCACACCATGTGGCCCAAACTACTACCATAGCCATATACCCACACCATGCAGCTCAAACTACTACCGTACCCATATACCCACACCATGCATCTCAAACTACTACCGTAGCCATATACCCACACCATGCATCTCAAACTACTACCGTAGCCATATACCCACACCATGCATCTCAAACTACTACCGTAGCCATATACCCACACCATGCGGCCCAAACTACTACCGTAGCCATATACCCACACCATGCGGCCCAAACTACTACCATTGTCATATACCCACACCGTGAGCCCAAACTACTACCATTGTCATATACCCACACCGTGAGCCCAAACTACTACGATTGTCATATACCCACACCGTGAGCCTAAACTACTACCATAGCCATATACCCACACCATGCGGCCCAAACTACTACCATAGCCATATACCCACACCATGCGGCCCAAACTACTTCTATAGCCACATAGCTATATACCCACACCATGCGGCCCAAACTACTACCATTGTCATATACCCACACCGTGAGCCTAAACTACTACCATAGCCATATACCTACACCATGCGGTCCAAACTACTACCATTGTCATATACCCACACTGTGAGCCCAAAATACTACCATAGCCATATACCCACACCATGCGGCCTAAACTACTACCATAGCCATATACCCACACCATGCGGCCCAAACTACTACCATTGTCATATACCCACACCGTGAGCCCAAACTACTACCATAGCCATATACCCACACCGTGAGCCCAAACTACTACCATATATACCCACACTGTGAGCCCAAAATACTACCATAGCCATATACCCACACCATGCGGCCTAAACTACTACCATAGCCATATACCCACACCATGCGGCCCAAACTACTACCATTGTCATATACCCACACCGTGAGCCCAAACTACTACCATAGCCATATACCCACACCGTGAGCCCAAACTACTACCATAGCCATATACCCACACTGTGAGCCCAAACTACTACCATAGCCATATACCCACACTGTGAGCCCAAACTACTACCATAGCCATATACCCACACCATGGGGCTCAAACTACTACCATTGTCATATACCCACACCGTGAGCCCAAACTACTACCATAGCCATATACCCACACCGTGAGCCCAAACTACTACCATAGCCATATACCCACACCATGGGGCTCAAACGACTACCATTGTCATATACCCACACTGTGAGCCCAAACTACTACCATAGCCATATACCCACACCATGCGGCCCAAACTACTACCATAGCCATATACCCACACCGTGAGCCCAAACTACCACCATAGCCATATACCCACACTGTGAGCCCAAACTACTACCATAGCCATATATCCACACCGTGAGCCTAAACTATTATTTAGCTTTCTACCATTGCCATAAATTTGTACCATGTACCCCAAACCACAGCTTGTTTCCTTTCCACAGAGGGAGGCTGTACAGGCTACACTGAATCAATTGAAGCAGAGATATGTTGAGGCCACAACTGAGGTAGGATGTGATATTCATACCAAACACAAGGATTTGTTTTGCAAAATGAAATACCTTTACGTGACAGAAAGTTTGATTGTAGAAACATAGAATGTGACGGCTGATCTAGTCTGCCCAATATTTCAAAATACTTTAACTTGCCTATGCCACACATGCTTAAACTCCCTCAGTGTGTTAACCTCTACCACTTCAACTGGAAGGCTACTCCATGCATCCACTACCCTCTCAGTAAAGTAATACTTCCTGATATTATTTTGAAACCTTCGCCCCTTTAATTTAAGACTATGTCCTCCTGTTGTGGTAATTTTTCTTCTTTTAAATATAGTCTCCTCCTTTACTGTGTTGATTCCCTTTATATATTTAAATGTTTCTATCATATCCCCCTGTCTGGTCTTTCCTCCAAGCTATACATGTTAAGATCATTTAACCTTTCCTGGTAAGTTTTATCCCGCAATCCATGAACCAGTTTAGTAGCCCTTCTCTGATATCCTTCTAGAGATATTTGCTATCTCTACACTGGGAGCAGTAGTTGAAATAATTCTCCCAAGGACCTGGGGTAAAATACGGCTATTTTATGCCCTATGCTGGCTATCCAGGCTGGGCCAGACGCTGACATTGGGTGGAGCGCACAATCTATTGTAATAGATGAGGGGAAAGCAGTAACAGGGAGACAAACTGGGCATGACGGTAACAGGAACAGCAAACACAAGTTAACTAGAGATGATTTAACATGAAATATATTTTATTTCCATGAAGCCATTTTGGACATTGCTGAGATATCTTTACAGGAAGTATGGCTGCAATGAATTTTCATATATTAAAGGGACAGTTTAGGTACAATACAAATTTGATGCAGGTTTTGGTCTCGTTAATATGCTTTTGTTGCATGCTCATAATCCTGCCTCTTTAGCGACACCCCTCACTCCACAAAGACTTCCTTAACCAAGGTATATACACAGCTCAGCCCCAACAGCACTGAGTGAGCAGCTTTTAATTCACATCCTGACTGCAGACAGAGAAATCCTTACTAGGTGTCTTCCCGAGTGTCCTCTCATTCTAATGATGGTTGCTTTGTAATTCCGATCATTTAGTAGTAGTACTATCAGTGACTGAGCTGTGTACATACCTTTGATAAGGAAGTCAACCTGACAAGTGGGTGTGGCTTAGGAGGCAGGCTTATGGAGCAGAATTCTGCCAAAAAATTTTTTTTTTTTTTAAATGCAAAAACTATAAATATTTAAGCATTCAAAAAAATACAGCATATTAATGAGGCTAAAACCTATCAACTGCATTAAAAATTGTATTGGTGCACAGTGTCCCTTTAATTAAAAAAAAAAAAAACATAAAGTGGACTCTGGCCCTGCACGAGTTTCATTTGAATTTTGGGTCTAAATTAAGTCAGTCTTTATGAAATTTTATTTTATTTTGGAGAATAGAGTCTAATCTGCCCTCTTCAGATAAATTACTGGTAAATCAGGGGATGTTCCTTCCTCTTCATTCAGGAGTTAATTGCCTGGTAGAGAGTTGAGGACTGGGTTGGGAACCTATGGCCTTAAGTACCCCATACCAGTCCAGGATGTAGAGATTATCCTGTTGTCTAAAGTGTGGGGTTTTTTTTTTTTCTTACACCACCTTAGATCCAACAGGGTAATCCCAGAATCCTGAACTGGTACGGGGTACTTGAGGACTTGGTTGGGAACCCCTGCAATAGGAGGTGACCAAGAACTACCAGTGTCTGCTAGCAATGACACATTCTCGTTGATCAACCACTGACGTGGATTAGTAGAAGGTGCAGAATGTGGCCCCTTGTTGCCTTCTCTTTGCAAACAGGTGCATGCTAAAGACAGAATTTGGGATAGAGAACGGTCTGAAATGAGGCACCCATTGTACTCCCTACAGGTGGACGCTCTGAGAAGCTCCCTGGAAGCAGCACGTTCTGACTGTCGCAGGCTGCACCATGAGAGCGAGCTGGTTGTGTGCAATGTGAACGAATGGGTGGATGAGCAAAAGTAAGTGGTGTCAGCACAATCCATGTAACATCTTCTCTCACACAGTACAATGTCTACAATCATTCTCTCTCTCTCGGTCACAGAGAAGCCAACAAGGTGTTATCTGAGAAAATCCGTGAGCAAAGCAAGCAGATTCTGCAGCTGACTACACAGAAAGAGTAAGACTTTATGTATCTCCTTTAAAATTGTCAGATCTGTGTCAAACCAGACCTTTACCTAGTTCATTGACCCTTCCCACGGGGTTGGAGGGGATACTTTCTATTTTAAGCACCAAATGTCTGTCTTCACTCACAGGCTTACTCCCTAACGAATTGCCAAATGTGGGTTAAAACAGATCTGGAAAAATTCTCCAACTTGGCTATAGGCAGAGCTGGACTGTTAGTTTGAATAAATCGTTCACACTGTGTACAGTAACCTTACTTTTCAGGATGGGACAGCATTTATCCATGGTCATGTTTAACCCAGTCACTGCTAGGAATACTTATTCCGCCCTTTAACCCATTTAGTGCCAACAGTTAGAGCAACAAGGCGTTTCCAAACAGGTAGAGCTTGTAAGGCTGTTACATAGTGCATAAGGTTGTGAGATAAATCATTTCATGTTGGGTGGCACTGGAAAAGTGCTGACCTACTATATGACACAGCAGCAATTTCTGTTCTAATTTGTGTCCAGGAAAACACAGGTAGGACAGCTTGCTCCATTACGAAGGTATTTGAGTGGGAAGTGAAAAGGTCAGTTTCTCAAGCTGGGCAAGTAAAGTCCTGTTAATGTCCATATCTCGTATTGGTGAAATCACTCCATGCACTGCTACCGGTTAGATGTCCATACCTCGTGTTGGGGAAATCACTCCATGCACTGCTACCTGTTAGATGTCCATACCTCGTGTTGGTGAAATCACTCCATGCACTGCTACCGGTTAGATGTCCATACCTCGTGTTGGGGAAATCACTCCATGCACTGCTACCTGTTAGATGTCCATACCTCGTGTTGGTGAAATCACTCCATGCACTGCTACCGGTTAGATGTCCATACCTCGTGTTGGGGAAATCACTCCATGCACTGCTACCTGTTAGATGTCCATACCTCGTGTTGGGGAAATCACTCCATGCACTGCTACCGGTTAGATGTCCATATCTCGTATTGGTGAAATCACTCCATGCACTGCTACCTGTTAGATGTCCATACCTCGTGTTGGGGAAATCACTCCATGCACTGCTACCTGTTAGATGTCCATACCTCGTGTTGGGGAAATCACTCCATGCACTGCTACCTGTTAGATGTCCATACCTCGTGTTGGGGAAATCACTCCATGCACTGCTACCGGTTAGATGTCCATACCTCGTGTTGGGGAAATCACTCCATGCACTGCTACCGGTTAGATGTCCATACCTCGTGTTGGGGAAATCACTCCATGCACTGCTACCTGTTAGATGTCCATACCTCGTGTTGGGGAAATCACTCCATGCACTGCTACCTGTTAGATGTCCATACCTCGTGTTGGGGAAATCACTCCATGCACTGCTACCTGTTAGATGTCCATACCTCGTGTTGGGGAAATCACTCCATGCACTGCTACCGGTTAGATGTCCATATCTCGTATTGGTGAAATCACTCCATGCACTGCTACCTGTTAGATGTCCATATCTCGTGTTGGGGAAATCACTCTATGCACTGTTAGCCTGATGAATATTTCATGTCACCACAGCCATTTTCAGGAAGTGATGGAGCGGCTCCAGCAAGATAACAAGCGCCTGCGCATCCAGGGGGATGAACGGCGTATAGAGAATGAGCGACAGAAGGTGAGTCATGTCTAATCCTGAACTGGCCTTTTACCTCTGTCTACAATATGGAAAGGAAAATATATGGCTAGTTTAGGTTCTAGGCTTAAAAGGACTTTTATAAATAGACCGGTCCGGTTATATCCTGGATGTTTAGTGGCGATAAACCCAAGAGGCAGCAATGGCCCAGAGCACCTGCCTTGAAAAGACTTCTCACTGAGCTCCATTGGGAATCTGTGATTGGACAGAAAGTCTGGGTGGAGTTAAAAGGGGAGGTCTTGCAAAGGCAGCAGATTTTATAAGATGTTTTCATTGGGCAGTATATCTACTTAACAGTAAAGTGTCCATTTAAAAAGAATTCGCCGAGCACAATAACCACTATAGAGTACAATGCCACCCCTCCCATGCAAGGGATCAAACTACCTCATAATCTGGTGTCCTCTAGGTGAGAAGTCAAACAGTTACCAAATGGTTTGATTACTAACATATAATTTTGATTATATTATGTGTATCGTATATTCATATTATATTCTACGTGCATATTCATGTAATTTTGACAATTTTAGAGTGTCTTGGAAAGTTACAAATTTAAATTTCTGCCTGGGTTGTTAGACAGGTCCCTAAGTACCGTTTTACTCAGTAGACTTCGCTGAACACAAATAAGTGTTTCAAAACAGTAAAACATATCACAGCGATGATATTGTCAGTGAAAGTGACATTATTTTGCATTTTTAACACACAAAACAGTACTTTCACTGATATTGTTGTGATACATTTTCCTATTTTGAATCACTAATATTTGTGTCCAGTGAGCTCTGAGTATTACAGTACCCCCCATGTACAGGTTTTATAGTGTTTGTGAAAGTTACATGATAAAATATAAGGCTTGCATATCAGTTTTTTTTCAAAAATTTGCCAGATTGGTTATGTTTCCTTTGAGAGCGTATGGTAGCCCAGGAATGAGAATTACCCCCATAATGGCATACCATTTGCCAAAGAAGGCAACCCAAGGTATTGCAAATGGGGTATGTTCAGCCTTTTTTAGTAGCCATTTCGTCACAAACACTGGCCAAAGTTAGCGTTCATATTTGTTTTTTGCATTCTTAACACACAAATATAAATGCTAACTTAACTACTAAAATATGTCTCAACATACCTTATATTGAATACGGTGGGTTGTACTCGTGAGACATTGCTGAATACAAATATGTGCATTTTATTGCAGTAAAAGCCAATAATATTTGACATTCACAGTTAAAATGCCACACAAAACTAAAAGATTTTTTAGAAAATCTTTATTTCTCACATTTTATTCATAATGAATTATGTTTCATATATGAATAGTTCATGTCAAATGAAAAGCCCTGTTTCTCCTGAACAAAATGCTATGTAATAAGTGTGGGTGCACTTAATGAGAGAGGAGAATTATGGTTGAACAGACATATAGCAAATTCCAGTATTTGTTTTGATCACAACGTGTACAACTGGCTCAGTCTGTAAGGGGTTAAACTCTCCATAGAGCTATAGTGTGTTTGGTGCTATGCAAGCACACTACAATGAAAAGGTGGCATGGAATTATTAATATTTGTGTTATGGTATATTTTCCTGCAATTAATATTTATGTTTGACTTGCCTAGCTGAGCCTGCACCAGTCAGACCTCGAACGTCAGAGCGTCAGCCGTGCTGCTACGGAGGAGCCAGGGTGAGAATCAATCAGAGTAATATTTGTTCTGCTTTTATCGTGTTTGTCACTAAAAGATTCTTGTTCTGTTCAGGTCTCTACGGTCTGCACGGCGGGCGTTTACTAGTGATGGAAACTTGAGGACAAAACCACGTGCAGGTCACTGACCGTTTACCACCTCAGAGCTTGCTCAGTTATGGTTAAAGTGAGAGATTCCAACCTACACTGGCACTGTGAATTAGTTGTACATCTATGGGCACTGGCAATCATGCTGAAATTTTTCTGTACATTTTTACAATATTTATAAAACTGTTTGTAATAAATTAATCATGGTTTTTATAATGATCCTATAATATAATGGTGTTCTTCCCATCTCAGACAAGGCATAGAAATCTGTAAAATCCAATGAATCTATTAAGAAATGTCTACTATGGTTAGACCGTTGCAGTTGCCGTGAATGAGCAAACTATGACCTGGCCGTCTTTGTGATGACAATATTACCTCCGCATACAGCGGAGGCCAAGCCAGAATCCCAGAGCTACACTTCATCCAGTCAGCATTGCAGGGAAATCAATAATTAGCATTTAACAGTTGCCTTTTAGTCAATATACAGCACTTAAATTGGCTTCACGCAGCGAAAGCTGCCGATAAGCCAACTGATCCACTTGTTGTGGGACTGCCTCTGACATTACGAAACTCGTTAGGAGTTAATTATCATGTTAACAACCGTCAGTACTGTCTATACTGGATATTATATGCAAATGGACCCAAATTTAAGAAGCACTCTGAGTCTGTATGTATTTAGCATCATGTTATGTAAAAATAATTATTCCACGTCCAGACCAAAAAAAAAAAAACCAAAACGAATACATTATTGCTTAAAAATAACATTATTCCACTTTACAATAAACAAATGACTGAACCCCTTTCCCTCTTAGAACAGAAGCCAAAAAGTCCCAGAAACTGTCACTGGCTTTACCCACGCAGCAATCAGGACACGGATAAATGGGTCACAGCCCGAAACGTGCAGGGGTGCGTCTTGGGGTTCCAGGATCCACCTGCTCTTTTCTTCCAGGGGTATAAATCTTGGCAGCCCTACAGGGGAAAAATTATAAACAAAGGTTTAACGTATACTGTATTCTAAAACAAGAGAGGCTATATAATTCAAATACCAACTGTTATTAGTTAAACGGCATCAACAGCCACGTGGATCTCCAATTCCAGAGATAATTTACTAGATGTGGCTCTAGAAGAAACTACTAATTTTTATACAGAATTGGCACAGGTCAGCCATGGCAGTCCTGCATTGGTCCTTCTGTTAACGTCATTTATAGACTCGCGTAAAAATTAGTTTCAGATGGTTTGTCCTCAAAAAATCATTTTAATCTACAACCAGTCAAATCAATGTGTGTGTGGATTTAAAAGGATTTTGAATTGTGACAAAGCCACTAAAATTATGTTTTGCACAAGTGTAGCAGTTTGCAGCATCACCTGGACAAATCCAATCATTTAACAGATCCTAGTTTAAATAAAGATAGTCTTTAAGGGACACCGTTAACACTCAATGAAGTGCTGATTAGATCACAATAGGTTTGAGAGTGTCATCCTCCAGTACGTGCCACTTAACAAATACAGAAGTTTAATTTATTATATGATTTGGGGAGCAATGAACCAAGAATTCCTTTATCATCGATGGCTAATGGTTTGAATTTACTTTCACGTAAACAAGGCTGTAAGCACTGTATTTTTGTCCTAACCCAAACTATTAACACCATAACCACTCCAATGAATGTCTCAATAACTCGGGGTAAATAAACCAGACTCTACACGAGAATTGCAGTCTGGCCACCAGATTCATTTAATAAGCAAATGAAAAAAAAAAAATGGATATTTGAGTACTTTGGGAAAAAAAAAAGTGGACTAAAACACAGTATGGCCATAAAGTGTGAATAAATACCCACATTTTGAATATGATATGGGGGTATTAAATAGCATTGAAAGATTTAAATGAAAAACAATGCTTAAACGTGTGTACTGCCCATATTTGTGTATATACTAGCCTGACACAGGTACTCTAAGCATTTTGGGCTTTCAGGGATATTTACATTTTGTGATCCCTGATCCATACTGTTAGTCTTGCAATGTGCACATTAACAAACCTGTTATCTGGTCTGAATCCATTTTACACAGTTATTATTCTGACATACATGGGATATGATGGCACAGTCCTAAAACATGGATGTGTGTTAGCTTCGCATGCAGTGTACTTCCAAGCACCAGCACAACAGGAACAGAGTTTACAGTATTTTTAGCATTTGCAGATGATTGGTTCACTTTTAACATCCATCAATATGGCCAAAAAAAACGAAACTATTCACTCAGCAGTAAGGCTGACATTAATTCAGCACTTGGTGAATAAATCCCTATGTGGTATTAATTATACGTCAGGAATTCTGGATTCGGGGGGCTGGACACTTTAAAGGGATATATATGAACAGGCACCAAACTCCGATCCATTACCAGTGGCCGTGACTCTATAAAATCAGCACCGTTAAACAGAACTTGACCCCATATTGCCTGTAGTAAAGAAAGAAGCATGAGACCAGGCAAATATCCCTCCCGATTGCCCACTTTGGTTTTTAAGTTCCCCAATGATGAATCTTTGCACAGTCTCGATTTTGTAGTTGGATAATAAAGTTAAACCCACCTCGTACTGCCCAGTGTGCTCTTCTTCTCCTGCTCCTCTCTCCTCGATCGCAACTGTTCCTCAGCCATGATCATCTCCTCCTCCATGATGGACACTTCCTCTTTCGCTCTGCGTCTGTTTTCCTGGTAGGTGAAGGAGCAGTGAGTTAGGGCCTCGGTGCGGAGTGTGTGACCATTAGCCAGGAGAGGATATATTAACACTTACCTGTCTGGATTTGCCAGCATGTTTGATGCTGTAGAACATTGGACCCAATTCAGCCAGCCATTCCCCATCCACAGCGGTGACACACTGCATGTACTCCTACAGGAACACAAACATAGCACTTTATATCAACAGCGTGTAATACAGCCAGCGGGGTCATGGTGGTCAATAATAACACTTTCCTACCTAGCAAACACTATGAAAACGTGGTGCCATTATTCGTTATCCAGATCACTTTCATTAAAGCAAGTTTGATAATAAAATGTAATCAGACTGCAGTGAACCCAATGGGTATTATATCCAATACGGGAAAAAAAAATGCTGCAAGTCTGATATCCTAGTTGTAAATGTTTACATCAAACAAGGGATTAACTAGCCCCATGTTAACAGAGTGACACAGAGAAAGCCTTGAGTATTGTAGGTGCCAGGCCTAGATAGTGTGACTACAGACAGCGATGTAAGAACCTGATTTTCTAATGACAGAGTAGGCTTATTAAAATGACAGTATCACGGTCAGTCCAATGTCCAGCCCCCCCTGCTCTGTACTAATACCTCTGTGGGCTGTGCCTGCCTGGTCAGGGGTGTGTGGACAAATAGTCTTCCTATTTGGTCTTACATTTAAAGTCCTTCCCTGCAGTGTGTAGCATTCATATGCTGCAGGATTTGGAATGTACTAACACTAGGCAATACTTTGTGTGCTTTCCATTAATAAGAGATGTGTGTCCAACCCTAACTGAACCGACGTGGACCAAAAGAGGAGATGAAATCACGGTTTCCTGTATCACTAAACTCACCGTGGCTAAAATAAAACCAATGTGATGCCGTTTCAATAGAACACAGAGTACAGTAATTAGAGTACTAAAATAAAATCTATATCGATAAATAGCTAATCCATACATTTAATACGCTTGCCCTTTAAGAGATTAATACCATATCATGCAAAGCAACTGTGCTGAATTTTCACTACGAGGAAATGCATATTGAAAGCAAGCCTGCATGAACTGCTAAGCCAGAGTGCTTTAGGTGTTGTGTTCCTTTAAATCAGATCAGTGAAACCCAGCAGACTGCTCTCTAGTGGCTATTTAAAAGGATAGCACACTGGGAACGGCTTAAAACAGGTTCAATTCACATTGTCATTCATCTTAAAGCAACTATAAAGGGCAAATTGAAAAGAAAACCAGACTACAAATCACAGCCTGATGCCATGTGATCTAATTAATCTGCACCTGGCACAGCTGTCCCTGGAAGTGTGACAAGTATTTACCTCCACTATAGACATCATGTAACCATCAAACAATGATCCACTTACCTTTGTGGTCATCACCAGCTCATGGTACACAATATAGTCCGGTGTGTAACCCATTCCAAAGAGGGAGCTTGTTGGGTGCAAGTGACATGGCATTCCTGTGCGTACATTCACGTATTCACCAATCCCCTGGGAAAAAGCAGCGATATAAGATGACCATTTTCCGATAGCCCCAACCCTCCCATATACAGCCCTCCCCCCAGCTGGGTATTTTTTTTTTTACCTTGAGCCTAGCGGCTTGGTGAAAGTAGGCCGCGCAAATGCACTTCCTCACTACATCCCAGTCCGAGCCGCAGGAAGAAAGGGACATCCGCTGGGCCACCATAATGTCTTTCAGCTGTGCACGCACTTCACGAACCTGGAAAAACAGGGATTGGTAAGTTACATCATGGACAAAGCAAAGATAGCAGGTAGGTAGGGCACAGACCCACATTTTAGATTAGGCATTTATCGGCACGTATCTCTTCCACAAACTGGTCCTGAAGCATGTTGTAATGTCACGTTTGGCACACTATTCATTGTAATGGCTGGAGGAGGCACTCACCTTGCGCATGGCCTTGGCATGGATAAAATGTTGGTTGCACCACCCGCTCGAGTAATTGTTGTTTTTCCACTGAAGGAAGACATTTAAAAATGTCAAGTGGTCACTTTCAGGGACAGCAAACTTCTCTCGAACCTGATCACTCTCCTCCTCCCGTCCCTGAGAAATGTTAGAATGTCATGGATGAGAAATAGCACATATTTTCCCAGTTACCCCAATATTCTGAATGAACTGGTAAAAACCCTACTGCCCCCAGCAATACCTTAGGACGGTAGAATATAGCTGGCACAGACAGCATAGACACCACGATGAGGATCTCAGAACTGCAGCCCATATCACATGACACAATCAGCATCTTAGAAAGAGCTGGATCCAGCGGAAACTCAACCATGAGGCGGCCGGTGGAGGTGAG